TGTTACTTTGAGCCTCTACTTTGTCTGTAAAATAGAGTTATTCCTCTCAGAGTGGCCAGGAAGACTGAATAACGGTGCATGTAATGTACATACATAGAGACCAATGTTAGGGCTAAATGAGTAAGGTGTGCTACTGGTTGCTATGCTGGGAAGACCAACAGAAAAGGTGTTCATCAGAAAGGAAGAAAAATAATAGGATTGCTGTTTTCACCAAACTTAAGAGTGTGTACTGTATATACTTAAGGTCCTTCCTGATAGGTTGCCAGAAGGAACTCCTCCTTCCAGTGGTCATTCTTACCTTAGTAAGAACATGGTCATAAGGCACCAATACTGTCCTGGGGGTCCTGCTGAAGATCTTCCTCCGTTCCAACCAGGAAGACTGCCCTGGTTCATATCTCCCCAAATGGCTTGATCACAAAGAACCCTTCACACACAGCTGATACGGATTGGGTGTGTTAGCAGCTCTTGCTCTGTAGTTATACAATGTGAGACACTTTTTTGAAAAAATTAATTTATTTAATTCAAAGAGTTACAAAGAGGAGAATCAGACAGGGAGGGAGGGATGGTGACAGAGAGACAGGGAAGAGAGATTCCATTATGCTGATTCATGAATGGCCACAATGGCCAGGCTGGAGGCCAGGCCAAAGCCGGGAAGGAGCCCAGAACTTCATCTGGGTCTAACAACGTGGGTGGCAGGGCACAGTACAAGTGGGTAACCTTCTACTGCTTTTCCCACGCACATGAATGGGTAGCTGAATCAGAAGCAGAGCAGCCAAGACTCAAAGCAGGGCCCCAACATGGGATCTGGTACCAAAGACAGTGGCCCAAATCCTCTCTGCCACGAAGCTGCCCCCGAGACATTCTTCTAAAAAACTTAGATGGGGACTTGGGGTTGGAGGAAGGTGGCTGTTAAGATGCTCCTTAGGACAGCAGCATCCTGGGGGGAGTAGAATGCCTAGTTTTAAGTTCCAGCTCTGCTCCCAAGTGCAGCTTCTTGCTGATGCATACCCTGTAGGTAGCACAGGAATGCCTTAATACTTGGGTCTCTGCCACCCCGGTGTCAGACACGGAGTTCCCTGCTACTAACTTCAGCCTGGCTCAGTCTCAGCCACTGCAGCCAGTTGGGAAATGAACCAGTGGATGGCAGCTCTGTCTGTCTGAAATCCAATTGCCATAGCCTTTCTCCATTTTAAATGAGAACATAAACATCTGGATGTTCGCATAAGAAAAACGCCTATAAGGCTGGTGAGCAGACCATCTAGTCTTGGTAGCTAGCTGACAGTTTTCTTTTCAGGATTCGTGATTGGTGGGCATTTGGCAAGGAATTTAAGATACCACTTAGGACAGCTACAACTTGTAAACAGTGCCAGGTTGGGTTCAAGTCCTGGTTCCTTTCCCAATTCCAGCTTCCTGCTGATGTGCATCCTGGGAGGCAGCAGATAAGCACCCAAGTATTTGGGTCCCTGCCACACACATGTAGACCCAAACTGAGTTCCATGTCCTGGCTATTTTAGTCAATTAGAGGGTGGACCAACAGGTGGAAGATCGTTCTCTCTCTCCCTTTCAAATCTGCATCCTTAATAGATACCAAAATCAATCTCACCCAAATCAACCTTTCTAATGTTTTTAAACTCCATGGCTGTAACTTGCCATTTGGAAGAGCAAGCAGCGCAAGTAGCAGGAGTTAATCACACAGCAGGCTTCTCTGTTCAGGAGGGGAAACTTTCTTACTGAAGACTAACAATGAAGTGTGTAAATGAGGGTCCATATAGTTTAAATGTAAACAAAGACTTACATCTTTTCAGGAAAGGCAAATGAACCAACTCCCTGAAGGAACTTTAAAAAAGTCCTGGCTTTCTGTCATATTTGTAGAGTTACCTGAGTACACAAAAATAGCCCAAGAAAACAAAGGTACTCCAATACAGTAATACACAATTCAGTGCGACTATTTCCTGTTTTTAGTTAATGAAAGCATACACAAACAAGCAATATTGTAACCTTTTAAGAGAGAGAGAAAAAAAAAAAAAGAGGATGGGGGGCTGGAGATACCAATACAACTAAATAGAAGTAGTTAACTCTAGAGGAGCTTAGAAGGATGGAGTAACAGCCCAGACAGGAGAGGAATAAACACTGAGGAAAGGTTTCATTTCATGAGTCTCCCTTGACAAGCCTTCAGATTATCAACCAGATCAACTAAAAAGCGGCAGAGTGGGCTTGACTGACATGGTTTATTTAGGATGAGACCTTTGTGGGTAGCTGAGTTACATTTCATTAGATTTCGGATGAACCGACTTTGGCATGCCAATCTCTTGATGAAAATCAATACCTAAATTTTAAATAGAGTTATTGTAAGTATTATGAAATTGGCTCCTTCTGCACTGAGATGGAATAATAAAAGACAGAGCAGAAAGTCAAAGGGATCAGTTTAAATCACTCCATTTGATCACACAGTGAGCCCCTTCCCTCCTGACCCAGGCTGTGATACACTATTTTCCCCAACCCCTGAAAAGAGCAGAAGAATAAGGCAATTGCTCATTTACCTTGTTTTTATTGCAATGTAACATGCAGTAAAAAAAAAAAAAAAAAAAAAAAAACCAACCAGGATTTATTAGCATTTACAATGCTTACAAAGAAAAAAGACTTTTAAAAAGCAATTTAGTTCAGATTTAAGAAAAGCTCTAATTAAACACTTACAATAAATCTATTTCCAAATGTTCAGTTTGGACCAAAATCATTTATGTTTGCTGTCTATTTGCAGTATTTTTATATAACCTTTGATTTTTGGGATATCCAGCCCCCATTTTCTTAACACAGCAGGGAAGACATATACATGTGGCCATTTAAATTAAAGGAAAAAATGGAGTAGGGGAGATCCCAGGCTGCAAAAATATATACAAGCATTTACCTTTTCCAGAACTAAACATTTCTTCCATAAAAATATTAAATAGCCAAGCCCTATAGAACTAGGGCTGGGACTACTTCAAATATAGCTATTCTGTATTTTAAAAATATAGGGCAGAAAGCCTTTTGGGAAATATTTATACATTTTCACACAATATTTCTAGGTTCCTAAGTGAATCATGAAGCATTATGTAGAACCCAAAAAAAAAAAAAAAAAAAGAAAGAAAGAAAAAGAAAAAAAAGGAAAAAAGACTACTTTCTTACATTATCTCTTAATTTAATCTCATAAATCTGTAGTAAATATTGGAATAACTACTTGTAGTATGAGAATCCACCTCAACAGGAAGTCTCAATAGCCATAGCCATATATTACCAAAGTTCAGACTTATGTAAGGAGTGGGCAGTTGGCAGACATTTGCTTTGTAACACGAAGCAACAGCATTTTCCCCTACCAAAAAAAAAAAAAGGCACAGTCCTTATTTCAGGAAACAACTAGGACTTTTAGAAACTCTAAAATGCTCTCCCTCTGAAATAAAAGTATAATTTTACAGGCTGCTTCACTGATCTCTGGGTTGGACTACATACTACTTTTTCTCAGATATGTGGAATAAAATAAGAGTATCACGGAGAACCTAATATCCCCATTATCACTGAAAATTTCTGAATGAGGGTACTGGTTCACGCATGCAAGTCTCTGCTTTATGATGGCAGTGTCTTAGAGACAGATACACAAGTTAAAAATATTTCTGTTTTTCTAGGGTGTAAACAGGAAGAATCATTAGAAACAATTTTTCTTTCTACATGAAAAAGGATCTCCTACTCTGTTATTTTGGGCTTACTGCTGCTTGTTCCTGCTCAGACACTGAACAGGTCACAGTCTCTGTTACACCAGTGACAAGGCTGTCCTCAGGGACCAGCTGGGACAGGGACTGCCGACGCAGGCTTCATCCCACTGCCCATGAAGTCAACTTTATGACAGTAGCCAACTCATCTGCCTAAGCTATGCCAAGTTAAAAAAATTACCTATGGAAAAGTCCTAAGTACCGTTAATCAGTTACTAATGGAACAGTCTAAGTTAAGTAGTCATGGGCAAAAAGGAAAACCTGCTAAAAATTTTGAGGGTAAAAGAATATTGCAGATAAGGAATATCAACCCAATATACTATAATGTGAAGAACAGAAATGGTCACTCCACCATGTGTCAAAAAAATGACAAATTTAGACTTCTCCCATCCAAGTACTAACCAGGTCCTACCCTTAGCCTCCGAGATCAGACAAGATTGCGTGTGTTCAGGGCGGTATGGCCATAGATAAATTTAAGACTTCTAATTAATTCATGCAGAGAATGTATTTCTATGATTACTAGAAGTTACCATCTTTTCTTTTGAGCCAGTATCACAGCTCTCCCTCTGAAATGAAAGTATAATTTCACAGGCTGTTTCACTGACCTCTGGGTTGCATTACAAAAACACTCTGGTTACAACTTGAATTCCTTAACAATAATTAAACATAATTGAAATTGTCGGATTATGATTAAATAACAATAACATGAAAATCATCAATGATGAACTCAGATGAATTCAGCTAATTCCAACTCTAGGTTAACTTTTACCAACAGTGAAGGAACCATGGTGTTAACACTGTTTGTAAAGTTTAGTAGTTTCAAGGCAATTAAAACAATCAAACTTGGAAACTAAGAGAGGTATGAAGTCATTTGTGGGCTAGGACCAGCTTTTCCCTGAAATTAGACAAAGCTACTTTGTAGAGAGATGCAAGACTGTTGCACCACTTCCATGAATAACATCAAACTGATGCACAGATTCATGCTGAAGAAAGGAAAACAACAGTCAGGCCAGGCTGAAACAGAGGAAGAGTACAAGCTCTCTGTCTGTTCACATCCCAGAAGCTGAGCTAACCTGTGTTAACATATACCCCTTAGCAAGAGGCTTAACAGGAAGATCTTGTATATTGCTGTAACTAAGGAACTTCCCTGCATATCTGCAGAATCTCTAAAATACAAAACCCTACCCCCAAGTGAGACTTTGGACACAAATATAAAATTGTTAAGGAAACAACCTAGTGTAATTAAGACAGGGCAGAATTCATTGCTGTTAAGTCTCATGTTAAGTGTCACTAGTCATTTGCAGATAAAATTTCTGGAAATGTTGAATAGAAATCCAGATCGCTGGGAAACAATTTACTTACACTCAGATAACTCTCTAAAGTCACAGTCCAATTTTACAACAAGATGTGCAACAGGCAGAGAAGGAAAAGGACAAGCACTGCAATTAAGCTCTTATACTTCAGTGGTTCAAGTTTTCAGAAGTCACTCTTGTCCAAATCCTTCTGTTTCTTCAATGGCAAACAACAACTTTTCCTTCAGTTGCTCATAGCTCTTGTAGGGTGGCAGGTCTAGGCGGTTAAAACTGAAAGTAAGAATTGTAAGCTTGAGAAAAGGAACTGCACAAAGAATCACATGGACAGTGCTATAGAACAACACTGGCTTTAATTTCATTTGTTTCTTTTAATTTTAAAGGCAGTCAAAGGGGAGAGAGATATCTTCCGTCTACTGGTTGAGACAGAGAGGAACAGATCTTCCATCTACTAATTTACTACCAAAATGCTCACAAGAATCAGGGTTGGTCCAGGTTGACATCCAGAGTCCAGAAGAGCCACCACCATCTCCCACATAGGGGGCAGTTGAGCCATCACAGGTATTACCCCAGTTTACGTATTAGCAGGAAGCAAAGGAGCCAACACTTGAGCCCCGTCCCCTCTGACATAACCATTGTACTGTCACATGGCAACGATTTTAAAGTCAGGCAAAACTGGGTTCAAATTCTAGCTCTGACACCAGGTTTTAATCAAAGTGCTCTTGAGCTCTCTACTAAGTCACAGTGTCAGGTGCTAGGGATATATTCACTAAAATGCCAGCCCTCCCAGGCTTCTCCATCCACCCAAACCTTCTTCAGTAATCAATACGTGCACTCTGGAGTCAGACAGGGAATGGCACAGTGGCACAGTACACATGGGAAAAGTAACAGCTTGGGACCCTGAGGCCACATGGGAGACTCAGGAGCACCTGGCTCCTGGTTTCAGACTGGTGCAGCCTTAGTCATTGTGGCCACTTGGGGAATGAACAAAAGGATGGAGGAACTCTCTATATCCCTTCCTATCTGTAACTCTGCCTTTTAAATTAATCATGGGAGGGGGGAATCTCTAATTTTCTCAAGTTGGAGCAGTGAGCTAGAATGCAAGTGGAGTAGCCAGGACTCCATGTGATGCTCCTGCTGCAGGCAGCAGCTTTAATCCCTACACACATTACTAGCCTGATAAATCTTTGGGAAGAAAAAAAAAAAAAAAAAAAAAGAATGCCTGCATCCTATGTGAGAGTGCCTGGGTTTGAGTCTTAGCTCTCTCCTGAGTCTAGCTGCTGCCAACGCAGCTAGGCAGCAGAAATGGCTCCACCCCTGGAGAGACTCAAATGGAGTTCCTGGCAGACACCTTCAGCCTCTTCTGGGAATTGAGGAAGTGAACCATTAGATGGGAGAGCTCTGTCTCTCTGCCTTTCAGATTAAAACAAAAAATCAAAAAGAATAAGATATTTAATAAATTTAACCACAAAATGTAAGATTTTTATAATTAAAGTGTCAATCACCAAAATAAATTATATGTTAATACACGGGAAGACATTGTCATTCACAGATAGGAGACGTCATGTTGTGTTGATGGCAAAATTCTTTAAACTGATCTACAATTGCATAGAAAATCCTAGCCAAGTTCTTTTTTTTAATATTTATTTATTTTTATTGCAAAGTCAGATATACAGAGAGAGGAGGAGAAACAGAGAAGAAGATCTTCCATCTGTTGATTCACTCCCCAACTAGTTGTAAAAGCCAGAGGTGAGCTGATCTGAAGCCAGAAGCCTGGAACTTCCTCCAGGTCTCCCATGCGGGTGCAGAGTCCCAAGGCTTTGGACCATCCTCTACTGTCTTGCCAGGCCACAAGCAGTGAGTTGGTTGGGAAGTGGGGTGATTGGGACACGAACTGGTACCCATATGGGATCCTGGCACATGCAAACCAAGGACTTGAGCAGCTAGGATACCGCGCCGGTTCCCCTAGCTGAATTCTTTGCAGAGATGGGCAAGCTGAGAATGAATACCTCCCAATTTCAAACTTTCTGCAAAACTACAATGATAGAAGCAATGTGGTACTAATTGTCAGTGGTGAGTCACAGTGGTAAAGCTGTTGCTTGCAATGCCAATATCCCTTATGGGTACCAGCATGTGTCTGATCCAGCTGCCTGGTAAAGGCCTGGTAAAAGCAGATGAAGACAGCTGACGTGTTTGGGTTCCTGCCACTCATGTGGGAAACCCAGATGAAGCTCTTGGCTCTGAGCTCTGTTTGGGCCTAACCTGGTTATAGGGGCCATGTGAGGAAAGAACCGTCAAATAAAAGATCTCTCACTTTCTCTCTGAAGCTTTCTTTGAAATAAATACACTTTAAAAATTATATATATATAGTTCATATTATGTTATATGCATATCTATGTATATATTTTTTAAAAGAATCATTTCTTTTTATTTGAAAGACAGACTTACAGAGAGGAGAAAAAGATCTTCTATCTGTTGGTTCGCTTCCCAAATGGCCAAAATGACTGGAGCTAACCTGATCTGAAGCCAGAGCAAGGAGCTTCTTCTGCATCTCCCACTTGGATGCAGGATCTCAAGGACTGTGGCTGTCTTCTGCTGCTTTCCAAGGCTCTAAGCAGGCAACTAAATGGGAAATGGAGCAGCTGGGACACAAATTGAAGCCCATATGGGGTACTGAAGCTTGCAGGTAGAGGATTAGCCTGTTTAGCCATCACACTAGCCCCCATGTCATACATCTTTTATCACAACCATAAAATGGGAAAGAAATACTGGTATGTGCTACAATGTGGAAAAATTTCAAAAATTATGCTATATGAAACAAGGCCTACATGAAAGGCCACATATTGTATGATTCCAATTGTATGAAAAATCAGGCAGAAAAACCATAGTAGAATAACCAGAGAAAAATAAAGTGGTTATAGGAGCGCAAATGGAGAGTGACTGTTAAATAGGTATATTTCATTTTGAGGATAAAAACATTTTCTGGAAATGAATCGTGGTGATGGTCGCTTAACGTTATACATAGTCTAAAAATCACTGAATTGTGTACTTTAATAGCTTCAGTTCAAAGGCATGTAAATTATATATGAGGGCCTGGCGTGACAGCATAGTAGTTTAGGTCCTTCCCTTGAACACCCCGGGATCCCATATGGGGCAGCCCCGCTTCCCATCCAGCTCCCTGCTTGTGGCCTGGGAAAGCAGTCGAGGACTTTAGCCGCTAGGCCATGACACCAGGCCCAGAAGATGTTTCTTGTCATCACTTCTCCATTTATATAGCTCAACTTTTTAAATAAATAAATACATCTCGAAACAAAACCAAAAAATTATACTGTAGTAATGATTATAATTCTCTGTGAATCTACTCCATATCATGGGATTAAAATGGATACACTTTATGATATACAAATTATGCCTCAATAAACCTTACCATGTATGACTTCTGGGTAACCAGTTCTCTTTCCCAACTTTTTCAATGCAGAATTTCTGTGGTCCATTGCTCCCTAAAACAACAAAATCATACACAGATCATTAGTGCAGTGGTTCTTAAAATGTGGTCCCTAACCCAGTAGCATCAGCATAAGCAGGGAATGTGCAGGAATCAACAAATCGACTGACCCAACCCAAAAGTCCACACTCAGCACTGTAGATGTAGTGATTTTCCTAAAAGCCCACTTACTGCTCCCGAGGAAATATCTATTACCTGTCGTAATGAATGGAACTGGGGTCATGTATTATACAATGTTTGGGACTGCTATGCACAAAAAAATTCCCTCATGTTTCATTCAACTAAACCTAACACAAATACAAACTGGTACTACTACTATTACTGTATTTCGCTATCAAGTTGTTTTTTTGTTTTGTTGAAGATACATTTATTTTTTATTTCAAGGTCAGACATACAGAGAGGAGGAAAGACTGAGAGGAAGATTTTCCATTCAGTGATTCACTCCCCAAGTGGCTGCAACAGCCAGTGCTGCACAGATCTGAAGTCAGGAGCCAAGAACTTCTTCTGGGTCTCCGAAATGAGTGCATGGGCTCATCTTCTGCTGTCATTCCAGGCATATTAGAAGGAGCTAGACTGGAAAGAGAGCAGCCCGGACACTTTGTACTCATGGGATATAAGTACTGAAAGTAGCAGCTTACCACACTGTGCCCCAAGGATCAAAGACTTGCTAAGAGTAGAGGCCAAAAAGTTACTTAGAAGTTACATGCTGAGTGTATGGACATGCTGTGGCTCAAAAGGCTAATCCTCCACATCTGTAGGGACCAGCATCACCTGAGTGCCAGTCCCAGCTGCTCCACGTTCCATCCAGCTCCCAGCAGAGCATGGCCCAGGTCCTGTGGCCCCTGCACTTGCGTGGAAGACACAGATGAAGCTCCTGGCTTTGGAATGACACAACTCCAGTTGTCACCATTTGGGGAGTGAACCATGGTCAAAGATCAATCTCCCCTTTTCTCTATAAATCTGCCCTTCAAATAAATAAAGCTTTAATAATAATAACAACAATACATTTATGGGGCTGGTGTGGTGGTACAGTTAATCTTCTACCTGTAAGCGCCCGCATCCCACATGGACACCAGTTTGTGTCCCAGATGCTCCACTGCCAATCTAGCTCCCAGCTTATGGCCTGTGAAAGCAGCTAAAGTCCTTGGGACCCTGCACCTACTGGGAAACCCAGAAGAGGTTCCTGGCTCTTGGCTTTTGATGAGCCCAGCTCTGACTGCTCCAGCAACTGGGGAGTGAACTAGCAATTGAAGATCTATCTATCCTTCTCTCTATAAATCTGCCCTTTCAATAAAAATAAATAAATCTTAAAAAAAAAGTTTACATAAACACAAGGTAACTGACTAATTAAGAAAATGGTTATTCTTGAATTTACTACTTCTTTTAAGTTGCCAATACATTTATCTAAAAGCAGTGGTAACAATTTTTCAGGATAGGAAAAAGGACTTTTTTACTACATACCCATGAGATCAGCAAATCCTCCTACTGGCAATCGGCAGGTTCCAGTAACAAATTGCAGAAGTCTCATTCTCTTCTCATTATCTATTTCTTTAACAAACTGTTAAAAGCACAATGAAAGAGATATGTAGGTTGTGCTATGTTAAGGACATTAATAAGAAATACAACACACCATTTTAAGTCTTAAAAGAACTCTGATTTCAGTTGTACTAGATAATGACTGACCTGACTAAGGATGAAACTGGCAATTCCATGTTTGTTAAACCAAATTTACTTTTCTTTACATAGACCTTAGGACCTCATCCTTAAAGGGAGCTAAGATAACAATGTCTAGGGCCCTAGACATTATTCACAGTGTTTCAAATAAGCCCTTCTTGGGCCCAGCACAGTAGCCTGGTGGCTAAAGTCCTCACGGTGCACAGGCCAGCATCCCCTATAGGCACCTATGAACCTATAGGCACCCTATAGATTCATATCTGAGCTGCTCCATTTCCCTTCCAGCTTCCTGTTTGTAGCCAGGAAAGCAGTAAAGGATAGTTCAGAGCCTGTGACATGTACCCGTGTGGGAGACTTGGAAGAAGCTCCTAGCTCCTGGCTTCAAATTGGCTCACATCTGGCCATTGCAGCCACCTGGGGAGTGAACCAGTGCATGAAAGATCTTTCTGTCTCTCCTTCTCTCTGTAAATCTGATTAAATCTGACTTTCAATAAAAATAAGTAAATCTTAAAAAAAAAAGCTCCTCTTGGGGTCAGCACTATGGTGTTGCATGTAAAGCTGCAGTCCGTGGTGCTGGCATAGCACTCAGGTGTCAGTTCAAGTCATGGCTGCTCTCCCTCTGATCTGCCTGACAAGGCACTAGAAGATCGCCCAACTTTACTCACGTGGGAGATACGGAAGAAGCTCCTGGCTTTAGAGCAGTCCATTTCTAAAAACTGTGGCCTTCACTACTAGAGTGAACCAGTAGATATCAGACCGTTCTTTTCTGTCTCTCCCCTTTTCTCTCACTGTAATATTTCCAAATGAATTATAAAAATATAAGCTCTTCTGTGGTAGCACCCTCAAATCCCCATCCCACAAGATCTGCCAGTCTAAAAGGACATTTGGATCCATGACACATAGCTTGCATCAATGCAGATTTTTTTGTTTTATGAACAAATGAATAACGTGCATAGAATTCTGATCTAGATATAGTCCAACAATTTCACAATGTTCTTTGTTTTAGTATAGCTATACATGACCAGAGTGCATGGGTTTTTCTCACAATTCTTACTCAAAACACTAGGCTTTTTTTCAGGAGAATGTCTGTAACCTATAGCATCCCTACTCTGATGCAGTCAAATACGTTTTCAAAAATTACTTATTTGTTCAAGAGACAGAAACAGTCAATTCCCATCACTGGTTCACTTCCCAAGATGCTTGCAAAAGTAAGGATTGAGCCAGGTCTTAAGAGAGAGACAGAGAGAGAGAGAGAGAGAGAGAGAGAGAGAGAGAGAGAGAGACTGAGCCGGGTCTGAGGCCAGGGGCTGGGAGCTCAATCCACAAGGGTGGCAGAACCCAATTACCCGCCACCACCACTGCCTCCTAGGGTCCACAGTAGCAGGAAGCTAGGATCAGTAAGTGGAGTCAGACATCACTGTGGGATGCGAATGACTTAACTGCTAGGCTAAATGCTCACTTTGGTTCAGCTGAGTGGTTTTTTTTTTTCTGATAGTTATACAGGTTCTGAGATTCCCCCCCCCATTTGTTCTATATTATTATTACATTAGTATAGTCCTTCACAAGCATTTATAAGTCCATCATTCTGCTATTTAAGTGTATCCTGACATTGTAGGTATGACAATGGAAGCGTCTAGTATTCTATTGTCAAGATTACTGAACACTTTCATTGGGAGTCCATGTTTTACTTGGAAACGGAGAGATGCATACTGCACTGTTATCTTCACATCTGGGTATGACAGATGGAAAGAATATAAATGGCTTCAATTCATCCATAAAGGTTAGCTGACTGGATTAAAAACCCTATCTATCTGTTGTCAACAGGAGACACATCTCACCAACATAGATATGTAGAAACTGAAAGCGAAAGGTCAGAAAGATATTTCAGGTTAATGGGAAAGAAAAATGAGCTGGAGTAGCCATTCTTAGATAACATAGACTCTGATATGAAAAATATTAAGAGAGAAAGGACATCACATAATGATCAAAGGATCGGTGCATCAGTTAGAGATCACCTTACTAGTTTCTTAGGATGTTTTCCTTTTCATATCTGATTTTACTCGGTTTTCCCATCTTGCTTTCCTTTGCTAGTCTGCCTAAAAGTCTGTTCTTTTTTTTTTTTTTTTTTTTTTAAAGATTTTATTTCTATTGCAAAGTCAGATATACAGAGAGGAGGAGAGACAGAGAGGAAGATGTTCCATCCATTGATTCACTCCCAAAGTGACTGCAATGGCCGGTGCTGCGCTGATCCAAAGCCAGGAGCTGTCCCCTGCTACTTCCCCAGGCCACAATCAGGGAGCTGGATGGGAAGTAGGACTGCCAGGATTATAACTGGAGTCCAAATGGGATGCTGGCATGTTCAAGGTGAGGACTTTAGCCTCTAGGCTACTGTGCCAGACCCTCTAATCTTCTTAAAAAATGTTACAGTTTGTAGTTTTTTAATTTTAATCCATTTATTTTGCTGCAATTTTCATTATTTCTTGCTTCCTCTTCATTCTTAATGTTTTTTAAATCTATTTTTATTGGAAAGTCAGATTTATAGAGAGAAGGAAAAAGATCTTCCATCTGCTTTCTTTTAAGGGGATGTATATTAACTGTGTGAACAGATTATCATATTCACATGTGAAGTCAAGTATATTTTGTAAGAAATATTTTTTCTCCTATTGAGCTATATTATTTTAAAATGTTATCTTTATTTGTTGTAGAAATCTAGTTCATCTTTGAATTTCTCATATGAATCTTATTATCTACAAAATTTTTTTAATTTACATTTTTAATTTTAATAAAGTATAAAATAAACCATTTTATCTGGACAGCTCAATGGCATTTAGTCAAAATTTTGTGTGATCATCACCACATTCCCAAAACTTTTTCATCACCCTAAACAAAAATTAAGTACGTAGACATTAAACCTGTTTTCCAACTCCCATTCCCCGAAGTTCTTGGTTACTGATACACTTTCTATCTGTGATAATCTGCCCATTCTAAGAATCGCAAATAAATGGAATTCTAAGTGATCTGCATTTCTGGTTTTTTCTCACTTTAAAATTTAGTTTTTAAATTGGCTTATTAGTTTTTAAATTACTTTATTCATATGGCATTATAAAAAACTCATTCATTTTAAAGAATGAATATTTCACCACAAACATACATGACAACACCCCTCACACAGTAGATAAACATATCCAGTAACCCAGGGATGGGCATTTTTGCCATTTTACGATACTGAATATTACTATGAACACTGGCGAACAAACGCATGAATTTCTGCCTTCAATTCTTCTCAGTATATTTCAAGAAGTCAAACTGTTGGATAATGTTAATTCTATGTTTAAACTTTTTTCCACAGATCTGCACTGTTTTATATGTTAACCAACAATTCATGAGGTTTCTAATTTTTCCACATCCTCACCAATAACTGTTACTTTTAATATTTAAAAATAATACTAATGTGAATAAAGTAGCATCTCAATCTGGTTTTCATTTGCACTTTTCTAACGAGTATAAGAACTTTCATGTGCTAACAAAATTACTTTGAGATACCACTATGACACTAACACAGATCTCTTATATTTTGCATTTGAACATTATGTAATTCTTAATGAAATATGGATGAAAATAATATTTTGAATAGTTCTACAGAAGTCTGAAAATATTTAAATCAAATGCAGGTAAGTCTTATTATATGCAACTATCTTACACTCTGGGAAATGTACAAGGTATGCGCTTATTTGGAAAAATTATTAAAAGAATGCTGTTATAATCTGTAACTATTATAATACCCAGGAGAGGTGTACACACATTGATCTATTTTGTTTGGTGTCTTATTTTCATATATGGTAAGCAATCTTTAAAAACTGTGTATAACAACAGAAGAAACTTAGAGACAAACCTGCCAAAACCACATGATTTGCTTGCTGGTTCGAGTATAATGACGATAAATGGTGTGTCTTTGCCAATCATTCAAATCAATCTCTTGCATTCCACATAAAAGAACCTTAGGGATAAAAAAGATAAAACAGCCTCTTTAGGTACTTGTACAATAAAATACTAGACACAAATTTTAAAGAAATATATTAATCACCATGCCGAGCTAACAAACTGTTAGCTAGAATTTTATCTAGAGGTCAGGCTTTTGTCATTTTAAGACATCATTTCAGACACTTGCATCCCATACTGCAGTGTCCACTGTAAGTCTGAGTCCTCTGGTTCTCATTCAGCTTCTTGCTTCTATGCATCCTGACAGGCTCCAGTTAGTGGTCCCTGTGCTCTTGGCTTTGGTCTGCCAGGCCTCAGCTATTGTGGGAATTTAGAAAGTGAACCAGGAGATGGAAAATCTCTGTGCCTTTAAAATAAAATGGAAAAAAGTTCTATCTATATTAATGAACTATGAAAAAGAGTTACCATGTATGATGTCATTATCATTTTAACTCATCCGTTTATAAAAGAGAACAAAGAGAAACATTCACAGTAATATTTTTCATAGGGATGATATTCTTTCATCTTTAGATAAACCATGCCTCTCTTATTGTTTTTTTTATTTACTTCACAGGGAGAAAGAGAGAACGAGAAGCATATACCCACATGTGCCTGTGCACGGAGGGAGGAGGAGGAAGAAAGAGAAAGACAGAGCTCCTCCACATGGCTGATTCATCAAATGAGACGGAGCAGAGTCAGGACAAACCCAGGAACCAGGAACTCTATCTGGTTTTCCCACATAACGCCAGGGCCCCACACATCTGGTCCATCTGCAACACCTGCTGGTGTTGCAGGTAGCAACTTAACCCAATATCGTGTTTTCTTTTACTACTGGGGATACTTCAAAACATCTTGCCAGCATAAAAAAAAATACTACTGCCACTGTAAGGATTAAAAAGTGAAACCTAGAGATATTGTTTTATCACTATGATGCAGGAGAATGAAAAAATATTCATTACCTCCAATTCTTTTGCATCAAAGTATTGCAAATATTGCTGGGGAAGAATTTCATTAAAGCCCTCAAAGAAAGCTTGAGTCTGTTCTTCAACACCTCGAGACAACCTCCATTCAGCTACCATTCTGGTAAAGAAATATAAAAGTTATCAGAAGGTTTAAACATGTGATAAATTCTGATGATTGATATTTTTAAACATTTCTATGAAAAGTCTCAAACAAAACAATAGAGTTTAAGGAGCTGCTTTGTACATGCATGGAATGTTAACACAATGACAATCCTACTTTATCTATGCCCCTCCTCATTCCACAGATATAATTCCATTCTAAAAAATACTTATTTTAGTATTGTCTCTATAAGATGAGGTCTCTTTTTCAAAACAAAATCAAATCATAATGTACCAAAACAGTGAATGACTCCTTAATATCAAATAATCAGTGCTCAAATCCCGACCATCCTAATGGAATCCATGACTTAATTAAATCTAAAACAAGTTCACATATGGTCTCATCTTTTTTTATTTCTCTTCCTCCTTGTAATCGGTTTTGAATAAAAGTTTGTACTATATTCTATATGTCAACCTTGCCTTTCTTCTAATTTTCACACACACACACACATCTTAAAAGAGTTAAATCATTAGGTTAATGCTCTGTGTACTGGCATCCCACACAATCCCATATGTATCTCACTGTTTTAACTTTCTTTTAAAGATTTATTTTTATTATTTTTTTTATTGGAAAGGCGGATGTACAGAGAGGAGAGACAGAGAGAAAGATCTTCCGTCCGATGATTCACTCCCCAAGTCAGCGCAACGGGTCGATACTATGCCGATCCAAAGCCAGGAGCCTCTTCCGGGTCTCCCACGCGGGTGCAGGGTCCCAAAGCTTTGGACTGTCCTCGACTGCTTTCCCAGGCCACAGGCAGGGAGCTGGAAGGGAAGCGGGGCTGCCGGGATTAGAACCGGCGCTCATATGGGATCCCGGGAGTGCAAGGCGAGGACCTTTAACCACTTGCGCCACCGCGCCAGGCCCAAGATTAACTTTCTAATCCAGCTCCCTGCTAATGGCTTGGGAAAGCAGGAGCAGCTGGGATACAAACTGGCATTGTAGGCAGCAGCTTTACTTATCAAAATACAATGCCAGCCATGCTTTGCCTTTTAAATAAACAAAACCAAAAAATGAGAAAAAGCATATATGTTAAATTTAACTTCCGCTGAATATAACTGGTGTTGCAAAGATATGAATGAACTTGTAACTCCTGAGACCAATGAGTTAATATACGGCATCAAATTAAGGCCTGGCAGGGTGGCTCAACAGCTAAATCCACCTTCAGTACCAGCATCCCATATGGACACCAGTTCTCCACTGCTGCACTTTCTATCTGGCTCCCTGCATGTGGTCTGGGAAAGCAGCAGAAGGATCAGCTCCTTGGGTTCTTGCACTCCTGGCTTCAGATCAGCTTAGCTATGGCTTTTGAGCCCATTTGGGAAGTGAACCAGCAAGTGGAGGATTCCTCTTTCTGTGGTTCTGCCTTTCCAATAAAAACAAATTTTAAAATAAAACATCAGATTGAACACACAATAAATAACTTTACTTATAAATTTTATCTGTTGCTATATTTCCTATAAAAATATCTGCATACAAATTAAGTTTTTACACATGGTATTGTGAGTGCAGAACTGATATTTAAAATTAGCCCAGGATAATTCAAATTGTTATAATTCCCACTTCCGGGCTGAAACTAGAAATGAAGAAATAATTGGCTACGTAGGGTAATAATCAATGGAAAAGCAAATTTTAAAAATATCATCTATTACTTTCTAGGATGCTGGGGTCCATGCAGGGAGTGTGGTCATTGCAGAGGTGTAAAGAGAACAGTTCCTCTGTTGGCAAGGCCACAAGGAGCTTCCTGCTGTATGGCAAGGCCTGGAGGATGTCTCTCCAACCACCTCATTGCAGTGTCACCCCCTTTGCGTGGACACTTAACCATGCCACTAAGAATTCGGTAATCTACTGAGGCATTGTTGTATGTCCTTTTGAGACAGTTTTTGCAACTGATGTGAGCTTAGGAGTTAATGTTACTGATAATCTTAGTGAATGGATCTTTAACAATTAATGAGAATTAATACACACAGTAGTACAATTCAGCCCAGGCTGTTTCTGGAACTCCTATTGTGTGCCTAACTATTGCTCTGGAACCTGACCCAGACAAGTAGCATGCCTTCTAGAAAATGGTTTGGTGTGTATCCTTATTGGGAGTAGGAGCTGATACTGCTATGGTGATAAATACAGCTACTGTGACCTTAAAGGCTAGCCTTTCTTTGCAATTTATTTAAAGCACAGAAAATGCATCTGTTTCGGTGACTTTTATAATTTTTTTGCCAGAGTAATTAAAGGATGTTTTTATTAATGTTAAAGAGATATGTTTTTAATTATTGTTTGACTGCTTATGGGGTTGTAGAGCCTGTAACTGTAGGGAGATTTAATATTTCAAACTTTTGTCAAGAATCTTTATGCTTTTTCCCTTGTGACATATTTTTTTTTTCCCATTAACTGATAGGTCAGCTGTAGAAATAGAAATGTAGTAGGCGCATATTACTGACTAGTAGGTAACACCATGTACCTTGGCCTTGGAGTCCTGGCTGTTACTCAATGGCTACTACTAAAGAACGAATAATAGTGTGCCTTGAAGGAAACGAACACAGTATTTTTCAAAATTATCTTTAAGAACACCTGCTTAATCATGAAGTAAAAACAGAACAATTAAATGTTTGTGTTGAAGCTTGTAATGTGCCTGAATAAATAAAAAAAGCTTCTTGAGCTGTTAGTAGAGGGCACCAACTGACTGTGTCTGTGTTTTTTTTCCCCTTCAAATCCACACCCCCTTCTCCAGCTCTGAACTCGGCGAGAGCTGGCCTCCAACTCCAGGCAGTTATCAAGAGGCTATATTCCAAGAAAAGCATTCTCACCTGATATATTCCTCCTTATTTTCTTCTGTTACAAGAATATTGCCACCATTTGGTTTCAAATCATGACTCTTAATTTCACCTAGAATTTCTTTATCAACTGAGAAGTACATTTCCAAACCACATTCTTCAATATTGTTTTCTCTGCACAAATAAAATTAGTACAATTTTTGTAACTGCTAATTCAACCACAATTCAAAATTCCTTAAAGAACTCCTCTAAGCTAACAACATTAAGCTTCAACATCAAAACACAAGAAATTGGACGATTATTCTCTAGAGTCATGTTACTACTAAAAATCTTGGCCATATTTCTAGAAAACTTATACTGAAGAGTAAACAGTCTGACATACAGATCACTCAAATTCAATAACTCAATATATGCTTAGTTTGGATAAGCTACCAATCCAATAATAAAAGCAAATAAATCAATTTTTTTGCTGTTATTTTCTTGTATTTTAAAAATTAAATGCAACAAACTTACTTAACCCAGATGAGAGAATTATAAAATTCAGGATCTATTGACTCTAAGTCCTTAAGTCCAACTGGTTTGTTCAAGATACGTTTATAAAATGGTAAAGAGAAACCCGTGTCTATGAATTTCCCATGAAACAGAGCCTATGAAAAAAGAACATAATATTATTTAAGACAACTATTAAATAGTCATTTTATTTCAAAATTTTGGATGAATTCTCCACTAGAAAAAATTCTACTATATATTATGACACAAGAAAGAAAATCTAGTATTGCTAAACTAGCAAAGTAAAACACAGTTCTTCACTTGCACTTACCATGGCAATAAACCTCCCAATAAAGCGAAAATATTTCAGGTGATCTGGATTGATGTAAGAAGCAGGGTTTATCTGCAAGCAGTAGTTATCCTTCCCTGCATATTCAAACAGGCAATACATTGGATTCAACACTTCATGTGACAAAAGAAAGAACCATTCTCTGAAATCAAAAGAAAATTTAGGATGAAAAAAATCATAGAAGTAACCATGCCAACAAATCAAAGAGCAGTACTACCACCAACAAACCTACTCAACTGGCTCATTTTTTCTTTCTTTCTTTTTTTTTTTTTTAAAGATTCACTTGTTTTGACTTGAAAGACCAATTTACACAGAGGAGATCTTTCATCCACTGGTTCACTCCCCAAAACTGGAACAGTGATGAGCCAGGATCCTGGAGTCTTCCTACCGTCCTACATGGATGCAGCAGAGAACGAAGGACTTGGGTCACCTTCTGCTGCTTTCCTAGTGTGTTAGCAGGGAGCTGGATTGAAAGCGGAACAGTAAGAACTTGAACCAGAGTCTAGACAGGATGCCAGCACAACAGGTAATAGCTTAATGCATCATGGTTGGCCCTAGCTGGTTAGTTTCCTTTTTTCTCCTAAAATTATTTATTTATATATTTATTTTTTTTATGGAAAGGCAGATTTACAGAGAGGAGACACAGAGTAAGATCCTCTGTCCACTCAATCTGCTGCTTTCCTAGGCCACAAACAGGGAGCTGGAAGGGAAGTGGAGCTGTCCCGATACGAACTGGTGCTCATATGAAATCCCGGCACGTGCAAGTTGAGGACTGCAGTCCAGTGCCTTGGGATCCTGCATCCACGTGGGTGTACTTGGTGCAGAGAGCCAATAATTATACACAGGTACTACAGACTGATGGTCAATAGCCAAAGTTCATTAACAGCAAAAAATTTTTAAAAGACTGAGTGTCGGCCTGGCGGCATGGCCTAGCAGCTAAAGTCCTCGCATTAAACGCACCGGGATCCCATATGAGCGCCGGTTCTAATCCCAGCAGCTCCACTTCCCAACCAGCTCCCTGCTTGTGTCCTGGGAAAGCAATCGAGGACAGCCCAAAGCCTTGGGACCCTGCACCCATGTGGGATACCCGAAAGAAGTTCCTGGTTCCTGGCTTCTGATTGGCATAGCATCAGCCATTGCGCTGACTTGGGGAGTGAATCATCGGACGGAAGATCTTTCTCTCTGTCTCTCCTCCTGTCTGTATATCTGACTTTCCAATAAATAAATCTTTAAAAAAAAAAATAAAAGACTGAGTGTCACATAAGCACAACAATGGAGGATCTAGAACAGGATGTAGTTTTCGTGTCTGCATGCAAGGGGCAGGGATGTCAATCAATACATAGTGCTTTTCTAGCAGGCTGTTAATAATTAAAGAGCACATGCAAGAAGCACCTCTCTTCATCTGCTATCAAAGCTTGAGGCTTAGGGAATTGCTATGTCCACACTTCTCTGTTCCAACTGCTTCAGAACCTTATCCTTGAGTTCCTAGAGCTTTCTCACAGGTATACAGCTGATTATAGCTTTGCACCAGTGAGGCTGCTCATAGCTCTCTAATCATCTTCCAATAGGAGATCTGGAACAAGCTCGTGGTTCCTGGCTTTGTATTGGCTGAGCTCTAGTCATTATGACCACTTGGGAAGTGGATGAAAGATCCTTCTCTACTCTCTGTAAATCTGCCTTTCCAACAAAGATAGATAAATCTTTAAAACAAAAAATTTGTTTAGAAGTTCTAATGCAAATGCTGTGAAAAGATCAAGCTATATTAACATTATGGTTTCTAACTGTAATACAGGTGAGTCTGGCTTAGCAGATATAGAGCAGTATGTATGGTGTGGTATATCCACTTGTGTTCAAGACCTCTTTTAGTTCATGTCCTCTGCAAAAACTTCAAACTGTTCATCCTCATCAATTTCTCATCAGGAGTCAGCAATCAGGAATGACTGCCTTCCTCCCTAACCATTCTTAACTTACAACCCATATGTATTATTTATCTGTGATTACTTCATTTATTTTGGAGTCATGTCATTTGAATTTCCAAACACAACATAGAGCTACTAAAACATACTGTCTGGTTAGTGAGCACACAAAGATTAAGGCTGTGATTAAGTCATTAATAAATACTGTTTCTACTCCTTATCATAGTCCTAGAAATGTAGGTATTACTATACTACATTAAATTTCACAGGTGATACTTGTCCAAGTATATACTACTGAACCATGGGGAAAAAAAACTATCAAATCCAGTCTTTACTCCAAAGCCCTTGTCTTTCCAACTACTACTGCTAAAGGGAGGAAGAGAGAAGAGAGACAGATAGTTCCCATCTGCCAGTACACTCCCGAAAAGTCCAGGGCCAGGAACTCAATTCAATTCTCCCGTTAGAGTGGCAGGAAAGACTGCATGAGCCCGCACCATAGCCTCTTAAGGTCTACATTAACAGTGAGCCGCTGAAGCTGGGATAAGGGATGAAGGCATGCCTGCCTCACTCAAATTCTAACCTGGTGTGATACACTGCTACGAAACAAGCAATTTTTTGCTTGAGGCTATCTTCTAGGGTTTGAGTAAGTTCAGATACGAATTTTGCGTGTTTGGTTACACGGTTATGAAACAGCTGGAGATGTCTGTATTCGATATAAAATAAAAATGCTTGGTTGGAATCTCAGCCTCTCCGTTCTGGATCCAGTTTCAGCGGATGGATACCCTGGGAGACACACTTGGGTCCCTGTCACTGCAACAGGAGATGCACATGGAATTTTTGACTCCTGGTTCCAGGCTTGTGAGAACTGAACCAGCAGACTGAGGATTTCTCTTCTCTCTGCCTTTCAAATATAATGCAAATACATAAAAATTAAACTTGCAACTCCTATTTTATACAGTCATCTACATCCTCATGGTATATTAATCTCAACTGGAAATTGAGAAACTATTATAAATACTATATTACTGGGGAAAATCTGAGTACTGTAGGTAGGGCTTTTGTATTCTCTAGAATACACACGAGATGATTGAATGAACACTGCTTACTCATTAAATGATGCAAAGTTTATATGCAGGCCCTACAATTTATTGTGTGCCTTAGGTAACTCTATAAGCCTCTCTCTCTCTCTCTCTCTTTTTTTTTTAAGATTTACTTATTCTTATTGGAAGGGATGATGTACAGAGAGGAGAGATTTTTCATCTGCTGGTTCACTCCCCACATGGCCACAAAGGCTGGAGTGGAGCCAATTAGAAGCCAGGAGCCTCCTCTGGATCTTCCACATGGTTGTTCCAAGGCTTTGGGCCAACCTCTGCTGCTTTCCCAGGTCACAAGCAGGGAGCTGGATGGGAAGTGGAGCAGTTGGGACAGGCAATCATTTGGGATACCACTGTTTACAAGGTGAGGATTTAGCCAGGCCCCTCTACAAAACTCTGAAAGAATTGTATCTCTCAGGATTATCCTGAGGATTAAATGGGTGAAGTAAACTAGTAATCATGTCAAAAGTGCTGAATTAGTGTTTGCTGAAATTCCACAGTTGCAATAAAATAAAGACAGAATAATTTGCTACATTTCCCTAAAACTTAAAATCAAGAAAATACTTGCAAGCAAAGTACAATGATACCTTTGGAAGAAAGTAACTAAGTTCTGAGTACTGATATTATCACTACCTTGCTACACCTCCATAATCTAAACCTTCTTCTCCAGGGAAAATCACCCACAAACGTCTTCGCAGATCCTGAGGACTGAAGCTCATTATCTATAAAACAGTAAAGTAAAACAATTGGTGAAATTGTGGAAATACCATTCTACCACTTCCAGGTTCTATATCTCCCTCATAAATATTACCAATTTCCCATGACATAAAGCAGTATTTATGGTCTAGTGAATATCACAAATACAAAAACACATTAGAGTTGCATTATGTCTATATGCCTATATATAGTACATATACTCCATGCTTATACTTAATACAATTCATTTTTAATTATGATAATATTGACTTAAAAGCTACCTAAATCAACTGCTTAGAGTACAGAGTTATCCTGAGTATTGCAATGATTAGGCAGTTACATAGGAAGGGGTTTCTATGTTTTGTTTCCTTTTGTTTAAGTAGGATTGGGTCACGGCACACACTAAACAGCTAATAGGCTAACTTGGAAATGAAAACCAGTTTGTTTTAAAAACTCATTTCCAGTGACAAATTACAAATTTCTGGAAAAATGATCAAATAGAGGTGGTTAACAGGATCGTCTATTAGAGAATAAAACCATTACTAAGCTGCAACAGATAGGTCATTTAGTTTTTCTCTTTGTAAAACAAGTTATTTGCAAAATTTGGTCAGTACAATGCTATACAGATTCACATAAATGTGTCAAAGCACACGTGCACGCATGTGCACACACACACACAGTCAGAGCCTGGAGATGCAGAAGCTGATACAATGGTCCCAATCAAGTTCAAATTCTAACTGAAAAGCTGTCTGTTCCTACACAACAGGACGCCACCTGGATCTCCCTTTAATATTAATAACTGAGGTTCCAGCCAGAGCAGCTGCTTTAAAGGAGAGTTACCAGAAGTTGTCAACCATCTTAAGTTCTTTTCTCTTTGCATTTTTTGGCACATTTTGAAGCCACAGCTACTATAATAATACTAAAAAATGTTTGAAAATAATGAATCATCCACACATTTTCACAATACATGGATTAACCAGTTGTTCTCATGTTTTACTGGCCATTTCAGTTTTTCCCGTAATATCACTTAATGTTTCATTGCAGCTGGTCGGTAGTGGTATTTGCAAACTAAACGTCAAGTGAATTAACTTAGGTTCCGAGCAAAAGTGAAAAACTCTGCTACTTATTTATCTTTTTAAAGACAGTCGTCAATTACCTTTACTGAATAAACATTTTTTGAATTTAAAAATTTAGTAAATATGTTAAGTACAACAGTAAGTCTTCTCGCTTTCTACTAATCCCACAGTGCTCACATAGTTATTTGCAGAACTTCACAGGTTTATATGCTTACTTCTATGCAGGTATTCCAAAAGTTTTGTGGTTAAATGAGATTAAAAGTAAGTTTATTCTGATACAAAAATTTACAAAATTTATGCAGAGAAGGGTCTTAAAAAAGCTTCAGGAAGGGGCTGTAGCACCAGGGCACAGTAGGTTAAGCTACCAACTGTGGTGCTGGTGTCCTGTAAGGTTACTGGTTCAAGTCCTAGCAGCTCCACTTCACTTTCAACTCTCTGCTAATACATGTAAGAGAGCAAAAGTGAAAGATGGCCCAAGTCTTTGGGCCCCTGTGCCCATGTGGGAGATCTGGAAGAAGCTCCTGGCTCCTAGCTTTGGAGTAGCCCAGTTCCAGCCAATGTGGCCATATGCGGAATGAACCAATGGATGCAAGGTCTCTGTCTTTCCTCTCTCTGTAGCTCTTTTAAATAAAAACAAATCTTTTTCTTTTTTCATTAAGAAGAAAGAGCTGTGGAAAGTACAATACTTTATTTCCAAAATTCTTACACCAAAATAAATTCCTCTTTTAATTCCATTTCCAAAAATATTTTAAAATACCCTCATGAATACACTTAAGATCAGATACATACAACCTTAGAAACAGAAACTCCGAACTCATTCAACATTTTGTTATTCTGATATTCAAAAGCAAAACACACACATTCCACTATTTACATGCTCCTAAATATTAAGCACTAATGTAGCTGGCAACAAGTTTAGACTTAAAAACTCAAGAAGCTCCAAATTAAGTTTAAAGCACAAAAAGGAGGTCCTGGTATAATCACTAGTGGCAAGCTGAGTGAATGAGACCATACCTGTTGAAAGGAATCTTCAAACAATGTTTTTCTTGTCACTGTGATCTTTATGTGCTGTGGCATGGCCAGTTGCTGAAATGTAAGAATAACTTAAGTCAACTCTCACCATTAAATGGCCTATCAAAAAACCCAAAGCAGAGAGTTTTACTTATCTTTTGCTGTCAGGATCAAACATGCTATATGAATATGAATTTATGTTTAATATCAGTTAACAGTAGATTTGTGACAATTCAAGCTAATTACAATTTGATATATAAGAATCAAAAGGAAACAAGATCTCATATGCCCCGCGGATACTTAATATTTTTATTGGAAAGTCAGACATACACAGAGGAGGAAAGACAGAGGAAGATCCTCTGTCTGATGATTCACCAGCGCCCCCAAGCGACCGCAAAGGCCGGTGCTGTGCCAGTATGAAGCCAGGAGCCAGGAACTTTCTCCAGGTCTTCCACGTGGGTGCAGGGTCCCAAAGCTTTGGGCTGTCCTCAACTGCCCTCCCAGGCTACAAGCAGGGAGCTGGATAGGGAGTGGAGCTGCCGGGACTAGAAACGGTGCCCATAGGGGATTCCCAGCGCACCCAAGGCAAGGACCGCTGGGCCACCACACCAGGCCAGAAATAAAAATTTTTATTTTCAAAACGTCAATTCAAATTCTTCTCTAACCATGGGCTCACTTAATTACAAAAATTTAAACTTTGAAACTGTAACTATATTAAAACTTTAGCTAACATATTTTATTTAAATCCATAAAGAAATTTAATAAAAATATTTTATTTATAATAAAAATATCTATTTTAATAAAAAGATTATACACAAGAAATGGTTACAACTGGAAGAAGCACTCTGAATATAATGTACATATGTTTGAATATATATGTATCAAAATAATTTATATAAAATGCTAGATATGAAAGAACCTGCTTAATAATTCATACACCATAGAATGCTTTATATTTGAAAACATCTGTAATATTAACATAATGGATACTGAGGAAGAAATGCCAATATCTTTTATTCAAGACACTTTAAACTTAATCTTCTAGATAGAAAGCTACAAATTATCTATTTATATGCTCCAACAAAAAAAAAAAAAACAGGGGAGAGATTCTAATATTTCTTATTCTCCCATCTTCATGAATTAATTTTTTTCAGCAATCACTATGTAATGTATGGAAAACAACAAAGGATAGGGAGTATAAAGATATAGATCCAGTACTAACCTGACACCAGAAGCGGAAATACTGAACCTTCGCTTTGAAGTCCCGAACATAGGCTATCTGTGGCCCATTGTCTCTGAGGAAGAGGAAAGGTTCATGTGTGATTTATGAAGGAGTCTTTAAATTCCACAAGAAAAAAATGTATTATAAAAAAACTGCATGGATTTCAAAGAGAATTCACAGCACAATACACCTACTGCTTAACTGCATTTTTCACAAACTTGAAACACTCATATAGCTACTTGTAAGAGATAATATTCAGGAAAAGTAAAATATTACATGTATCTTGGTACTTAGCAATTGAATACAAAAATAAGTGGTACAACATATTCCTAATACACAGAGAATTCTGGCATTCGAAATGACAATGGCCTGTAACACTGGCCCTGTATTTATTAATACTCTTTCATTGTCAGTATAGTTCTAAATTTTTAAAAAAATTTTTTATATAAGACAGTTACACTATGGAGTGCTGACACTGTGACTTAGTATGCAAAGCCACTGCCTGAGATGCTAACATCCCAATGGGTCCAGATTCACGTCCCAGCTGTTCCAGTTCTAATCTAGTTCCTTTCTAATTGCTTAGGAAATCCAAGTGTTTGGGTCCCTGTCACCAATGTGGAAGACAGAGGTGAAACTTAGGGCTTCAACCTGGCCCAGAACAGGTAGCTGTTGCCATCTGAGGAGTGGACCAGGATAGAAGATGGCTTTCTTCTCTGCCTCTCCCTCTTTTTATAATTTTTTCAGTATAAATAAATGGAATGCAATGACAAACTTGCAGCAGACCTTCCTATCTCATGCTTACCACATATCCTGATTGTATCATTTTCCCTAGCATTGAGTTAATCTTATTTTGCTTCATTCATCAAAGCCATAATAGCAACAGGCTGTATCATTGCACACGCGTGTGCAGCCTAGGTGTGCAGAAGGCTGTATCATCTAGGTTTGTGTATTTCTTATCACCTATGTTTCTGTATTTCCATTCCATGATGTTCACAGAGTAATGAAATTGCCCAAAAACCTATTTGTTAGAGAACATATCCTCTTAAGTGACGCGTGTCTGTATATAGAGCTCCTAAACCTCTACAGCCAAATAATCAAACTGACTCAAAAACTGATGACTTAGCTACATAACCCTATTGGTACGCTGACTTAAGAAACAGTAGCATATTCATTTGTTGTTCATGCATATATTTATAACAAAAACAAATTAATCACAGTCTACAATGTTTTAAAAACTTACAGGGCAGATTTTCCTGTGCGAGGATCTATGTAGGTGGTTGTTCTTCTATTATGGTCCACAAAATACGGAATGCCATCCACTGTGAACCTCATTTCCCAGCCTTCAGGTAAGGGCTTTTCATTTAACTGACTACAAGGAAAAAAACAAAACAAAACAGGAAAATAAAATGCAATCAAGAACTGTTTACCTTGTGTAAAAACTAAAAATACACATAAATATAACAGAAATCTTATTAAAAAACTATTGAATTTAGTATCCTTAGTTGTATACTAGACAAAAGTCCTCTCCATTTTCTGCCTACATGGCCTATGCTCTCCAACTACGCAATAACCTACCGGAAACATATGAGAGCAACAAAGCTCTGCCCATTTCTGCCTTGGAAGTCTTCACATCTGTTCCCAGTAATATCCTAATTCTGTCTTTGTCTCTAAGCTTTCTCAAGGCCATTTAACCTTTCCAGTCTCATTCTAGCTCTGTTCATATGGTATTGCTAGAAAAGTATCTAAAATTCCAACTGTATAAAATTACTTCTTTAGTTCTCATAGACAGAACTAACAGCAAGTGTCATTATTGTTCCACCGGTATCAATGATAATATCTAAAATCCTGGGATCAACATTGTGGTATGACAGCCTAAGCCGCTGCTTGCATGCTGGCATTCCATGTCAAGTGCTAGCTACTTTATTCTCGATCCAGCTTCTTGCTCATATGCCTGGGAAAGCAATGGGAAATGGTCCAAATGTTTGGACCCCTGCACCTACGTGGGAGATCAGAAAGACTCTCTGGGCTCCTGGTTTTATTCTGGCACAGCCCTGGCTATGCAGGCATTTGGGGAGCCAAACAGCAGATAAAGAGTCTCTGCTCTGTTAACTTTGCCTTTCAAATAAATAAAAGATAAATTTAAACAAAAAAGTTAAGTCCTCCACCTGGTACTCTCTCAAGCTTTACAAAACTTATGTCCACTTGGGAACTGGCAGTGCAGATGACAGTTTAAACCACTGTACCACAGTACCATGGGGCACAGCAATTAACATACTGTTTGGGGTGCCAGCACTGCAGAGCCTGGATTCAAGTTCCAGCTTCCTGCAAATACGCACCCAGGGGAGCAGTAGGTGACGGCTTAAGTAGTTGGCTTCCTGCCATCCATATGGGAAACTTGGGTTGAACTCCTGGTTCCTAGATTGGCCAGACCCAAACCTGACCACTGCAAACATTTACAAAGTGAATCAGTAAAGAGGAGCTCTCTCTGTGTCTGTCCAGAACCACCTGGAGAGTACAAGATCCAGGCGTGGGAGTGAGCCTAGTAGGGAAACAGCAGGCATCTCCCTCTTGGGTTGCCACTCCAACTGGTGAGCATGAGAACCAGTACTGGGATAAGCATGGCTAGACAGAGTGGCACCTGCCAGCAAATGAGCGGGCTGGATAGTATGGCTAGCTGGGCTGAACTAGGCTTCAATGCCCATTGACATGAATGAGAGCTGAATGGGATGTCGGACTGGCAAGCAGGGGAACCAGGGCAAGGGGTGGGACTGGTGGGGGTTATTGTGGGTCATTTTGACTGAGGACATAAAACCATTGTACAGCATATGATGACAGTCATATCCAATGAGAAAGAACTGGCAAGAGATATTCTCATAACTTAGTAGCTATTCTAGAGTGTGGGAATATACAGTATCTGTAAGTATTGGGGACTGGGATGTACACTTTAGGCTGGGCCATGACACTGACCAGCATGTGAGAGAACCGGGTCTTAGGGCAGATTCTGGGGAAAATATATTGGCTCACTACTTTAGAAGTGTAATACATGTTGGTTTACTCAAAAGCTGGTGATGGTGGTGGGCCAAGCTAGACATGACCATGGAACTCACATTCATGGGAACTGGGATAGCAACCAAGTCAGGCTGGTTCAGCCTGCAGCACCCACAGGGACAACCAGGAATTTGGTGTAGAGCAGGTTGGGCCGCAAGCTCTACCAGCATACACAAAGGCTGAGACTGGTGCGGGGGCAGAATATACCAGGCAGAGGGCCTAGTACCTGATGGCCCTTCAGAAATCTGGGTCTGGGAGTGGGCCTGGTTGGGGAACTTTGGGCAACTCCCCTACTGTTCTGCTGATGACTGTAAGAATCAGGGCTGAGTCTAGGCCAGACCAGGAAAGGCTGCTATGCTTGTCATCAGCTGTGTGAGCTGGCCTGTGGGGAAAGAGCCAGGATAAGTGGCAACTGGCTGGGCTTTGTCATAGCATCCATCAGCCAAATGCTAGGACAGGACATAAGTCACGTCAGACTGGACTACAGTACCCTCTTGAAAGTGCAAAAACCGGGACTAGAAATGGGCCTAATATGGAAACTGTGGGCAATTCTCTGCTGGGCTGCAGTTCCTGTTGGAATGCATATGAGAGCCAGGGCCAGGGGCTGATCAAGCACCAGTCAGCACACAAGTGGACTGGGTCGTAGGGTGGGGTGGACTAGGCTAAACTGCAACATCCAAAAGTGTATGTGAGCACCCAACTGGGATGCAGCACAGATCAGATAGTCAGTTGCACATACTGGCACAAGTAGGAACCAGGGCTGGGGATGGGCCTGGTCAGAGTTATTGAAATTTGTCCCAAGTAGGCTGCAGTTCCTGCTGATGTGTACAAGGCCTAGGTCTGTGGCAGGCTGAGCTGGGCTGGGCCACCATACCTGTCGGTTTGCATGTGACATGATGCTGGGGATGTAACAGACCAAACAACTACAATCACCAGTGTGTGAGTAGGCTAATATGGGTAATAGACTGAAACAGATCCTACAGTGGCTGACACATATAAGAGTCAGGTCTGGGGCCACCCCAGGTGAGGTATCTTGGAGGAATCCTTACCTAGGATACTAGACTCAAAACTGGCCACAGAAAGAATCATTGAATTTGTGGTCTGACCTTGGAATACATGTATTGGGACTGGGCCTCCTTGATTGCTGAAGCCTATGCAATGGGCAGGATGCCCAGATGCATAATGGGGAACAAGATGGGCAGCTCATTTGGGCCTGAAGAGGGTGTCAAGTGCCATGTAGGAAGATGGAGAACAGAATAGGTTGGACAACTCTCCAACCTTTGGCTCCATGTCTGGGTGAGTGGATGCACTAGGATGGACTCACTCAGCCAATGGAACTTGGAAGGATTTTTTTAATCTTTGGAGCAGCGAAACCAATGGCGTCTTGAAACTATCGAAACCACTCAAGCAATACATCCACATCCAAGAGTACTGATGTAGTTTGGAGACTGGGAGCAATTTCCTCCCCGCTTCCTACCCCATACTGCCCAATAAAAGGAGAAAAGGAAAATTGGAAGACTTTTTCCCACCCACCTTCCTCCATACCTCAACTCTCCCCACCCTGTTCAGTGGTCTTAATGGGCCTGTATTCTTGTCAACTATGTAAACAACATGAAAAATGAAATAAAGTAAGTTTTCTCTCTCTCCCAAGTACGCAGGTTAATGTCTAAGGCCTATTTAAGTTCAACCTTCAGACCTTACTCAGAGATAAGATGAAAGCTTTATGAGGTATATGTAACAAAGTTCTTACCCTTGACTTCGTGGATCTTCCCACTGTGTAATTCGGGTGTTGTGGTTGACAAAATACACTCTGCCATTGCTGTCAGTTCTCTTTTCTTTAGCGAAAACAACAACAAAAGCATTAGCATTTGGCATAGACTTTTTCCAGTCCTCTTTTTTATTTAAGCTTTATAATTCATTTGAATGTCAGAGTTTCAGAAAGAGAGAGCAGCCATCCCCCAGTTCACTCCCCAAATAGCCAAAATGGCCAGAGCTGTGCCAGGCTGAAGCCAAGAGCCAGGAGCTTCTTCCAGGTCTCCCACATGGGTGTGGGGGCCAAGGACTTGGGGTCATCTCCCACTACCTTTCCCAGGCCATTAGCTGGAAAGTGGACTGGAAGTATCAGCTAAGATTCAAACCAGTACTCATATGAGATGCTGGCATCACAGATGGCACCCTTACCCATTAAACCACAACGTAGTCATTATTAAATTAATCATCCATACATTTGGGATGTGTCTTAAATTAAACCTTGTTGAGTTAGTATGTGGTAAGATTTAATTATATTTCCCACACTGCTGCAAGAATTCAAGTAATACAGATATTACAGGGTTAAAGAAAAGTTTTAGTGACTATAATGGCTTCATTCCTGAAATATCAACTACTTTTTAAATCAGCTAATCTTAAAATGGAAATAGAATTCCAAATGTGCATAACATCAAGAAAAATGGGACTCTGCATCTCTTTACAAATTCTACATATTAACAAAGGTTATTCCACGAGAGGAACACAGAAAGTTGTCACCAATTCTAAGGCTGTCCTGAAGTAAAAACAGCACAAAGCTTACAACTGCAACAAAACAAGGCAAGTTCATGTCTTCTTTACAATCACAATGAATTTATTTTTAAAGTTTTTTTTTAATTGCAAAGTCAGTTATATAAAGAGAGGAGGAAAGATCTTTCATGTGCTGGTTCACTCCCCAAGTGGCTGCAACAACCAGAGCTGAGCCAATCTGAAGCCAGGAGTCAGGAGCTTCTTCTGGGTCTCCCACACAGAAGGAACCCAAGGACTTGGACCATCCTTGACCACTTTCCCAGGCTACAAGCAGCGAACTTGATGAGAATCAAGGCGGCTGGGACACAAATTGGTGCCCGCATGGGATCTCGGCACATGCAAGGCGAGAACTTTAGCCACTAGGCTATCGTGTTAGGCCCAGTCACAGTGATTTTATAAAATTCCAGTCTCAAATTGTCATTTTTTGTAACTAAATAAAATACATCATTGCATTTTACTGTGGTACAGTGAATTAAGCTGCTACTGCAGGGTTGGTTTGCCATATGGATACATGCTGGAGTTCCAGCTGCTCCACTTTTAATCCAGTTCCCTGCTAATGTGTTTGGGTAAGCAACAGAAGATGGTTTGAATACTTGGAGCCCAAAACCCACATGGGAGACCCAGATGATGCTCCTGGGTCATGGCTTGGGCTTAGTCTTTCCCTGGCTATTGCAGTCTTTGGGGGACTATTCCAGCAGTTGGAAGACTTCTCTGTGTCTCTCTATCCCTGTTTCTGTAACTCTATCAATCAACAATCTAGTAAAAGGAAATGAATATCAAAATAATATGTGAAATTTTATAACCTAAAAAAAAAAACCTAAGTGCATGACTGTGTACTCATCATTTTAATTTTTAAAAAGATTTATTAATTTTTATTGGAAAGTCAGCTATACAGAGAGGAGAGAGAGAAAAATCTTCTATGTGCCGGTTCACTCTCCAAGTGGCTGCAAAGATCGAACTGAGCTGATCCAAAGACAGGAGCTTCTTCCAGGTCTCCCATGCAGGTGCAGGATCCCAAGGCTTTGAGCCATCCTCTACTGCTTTTGCAGGTCATAAACAGAGAGATGGAAGGGAAGTAGAACAGCTGGGACACAAATGGGCCCACTGCATGCAAGGCAAGAACTGTAGCCACTAGCCTCCTGCGCCAGGCCCATATTCACCTTTTTAAATATTTATTTTCATATACTTGAGAAACTAAATGAGATGATAGAGTGAGAAGAGATCGCTCAAGATTTCTTCTATCTACTGGGCTACCTACCACCCAAGCACCGTCCACATCCATGGTTAGGTCAGGACAAAGTCTAGAGACTGAAACTGCATCCTGGTCTTTAATGTGGGTAATCAGGGGAAGGGCACTTGAATGATCTGCTGCTGCTTTTCAGCATGCATTAACAGGAAGCTGATTCAGAAATGGATCAATGGATACCCAGACCAGCACTCCAACATGCTATGTTGGCATCACAAGTAGAGGCTTAACCTACTGCGCCTCAGATGCTCATCTTTTTTCTATCATGTAAGTACAGATTTCAAGATTCAAGATTTTCTTTACAGAAGCTAAAATGAAGCAAGGTAACAATTCAAGAGCAAATTTGGTGCTTATGTATCTTCTAAATATATGCTGATTATTTCAGCATTTATTAGAAGAGGTGTGAAAAACAAAATTTCATAGGTAGACATGCTTGGAAACCAAAGTCTTATCTACTTAATGAGAGGAACTGCTGTGACTGTAGAGTTGATTTCTTAGTTTGTTGGATGAAAAAAAAAATCATATGATAAACAACACTAAAATTAATGAACATCTGACCTGAATGTATATCAGAGGACTTCTTAACTTGATGATAAATTAGTAAAAACAGAATGTAATGGCTACTACATGTATTTCCTTGTGTCAATTACAAAGACAAGAAAAATCCCTTTATACGTAATAAGCAAACCACCCTCAACAAAGCCCTATTAGACTACATTACTGAACCAGAAACATTTGTTTTTCTCTAGCCTCTATAAGGTGGACATGTGTTAAAAATTATTCCCTGTGTGCTTACAAGATGGTAATGTTGTAATATCTAGTTCTAGCATATAAAAATCTGCAAGAGTGGTGACACTGCATTTAAATACATAAGGTGTCCCCAAAATAATGCTGTCAGTCTCAGAATGAAAACACTGGCTGTAGCTTGGGTTCTGTTTGCTATTCCAATTCTGAAAATATGCAAGGTGCATATGTTCATGTGGTGCATCAGGTATGTGATGGACTCTACAAAGGCAGAATTATAAAGCACTGCTCAGACTAACTAGTAGAAAAATAAAAAGGTCACTCAGGAAGGCCACACCAATCCAACCTCATTAGTGTGAGACCTAAAAATAAGCAGACCATAAAAAGTATTGTTGACTAACATAAAAATGAAAAAAAAAATCCGGATACAGATAATATATACTAAAGACAATGATCAGCTTGCAAGGGAATCTCTTCTAAAAGTAACAGAGCTCACAGCTCAGGCTTTTTTGAACAAGAGGCAATTTTTTCTACAAGTGCTTCAGAGGAGTAAAATAGTCTGTTTACGACTATGAACATGAACGGATCCCAATTTTTCTGCAATAAAAGACAAAGGATGGGGTGTTGAAAGTAAGTCATGTGGCATGTGCCCGAGAAGTGCCAGCTCAGGACCAACTATTCTGATTCCAATCCAGCTTTTTCCGAACGTTATCTTGGAAGGTAGCAGATGATGGCTCAATTATTTGGTTTCCTGCCACCTGCATGGGAGACCAGGATGGAGTTTCTGGCTCTTGGCATCAACCTGGTCCAGCACTGACTAGTGCAGTCAATCGGGGAGTGACCCAGCAGACAGATGCTCAGTCTCCTTCCACAAACCCTTTAACCTCTACTCTATCACTGTGTCTTTCAAAGAAATCCTTAAAATTAGGGGAATACATATGCCCTATTACTTCATCTCTACTTCAGAAACACATTTCAAAACATAAAGCTGGGCAAACCAGGCCTGTTTGGAAATGCAATCTGACTAAACAATGCAGTATGCTTCATAAAGGTAACATTTCCTTTTGTGAAGTCTAATCAACCACACACTGACCAATCTGGAGTTTCAAGAGTGAGAAGACTTCTTAAATCCAGACCACTATGCTTTGTAGACAGAAACTCATAACCTTTGTATATCTTACTTTTAAGTAAGGTTTAATACATTTTTCACTTTTAACTGAAAACACCATTTTGAGGTTGAATAATTTTAAAGATTTCTTTTTATTGAAAAATCAAATTTATATTGAGAAGGAGAGACAGAGAGAGAAAGATCTTCCATCTGCTGGTTCACTTCTCAAGTGGCTGCAACAGCAGAAACTAAGCTGATCCAAAGCCAGGAGCCAGGAGCTCCTGGGTCCTCCATGCAGCTGCAGGTCCCAAAGCTTTGGGTTGTCCTCCACTGCTTTCCAAGGCCATAAGCAGGGAGCTAGAAGGGAAATGGAGCAACCCAGATAGAAACCAGTGCCCATGTTATCCTGGTGGTTGCAAGGCAAGGACTTTAGCCACTAGGCTACTACGCCAAGACCAAGGTTGAGTAATTTTAATGAAAGAGTAGAATTTCTCAAACAGAAAAAAAGGGAAGGGTAGTATTATACATTTATTTTTCAAATTCATATAACATTTTAAAAATAAAGATTTATTATTTTTAGAAAGGCAGATATACAGAGAGAAAGATCCTCTGTCCACTGATTCTCTCCCTAAGGGGCCACACAGCTGGAGCTCAGCTAGCCAAAGCCTGGAGTCAGGTGTCTCCTCTCAGACTCCCATGCAGACACAGGTTCCTACAGCTTTGGGCCATCCTCCACTGCTTTCCCAGAACCTGGCTGAGAAGTGGAGCAAGTGGGAATAAACTGGTGCACATATACGGGATTCCAGCATATGCAAGGCAAGGACACAGCTACTAGGCCATCGTGCTGGGTCCCAAATTTATATGTTCTGGACACATTAACTTTTCCCCCATTACTCAGCAGTGTTACAATGCTCTATCTTGAGGATTAAACCTTTCCAACAAGAAAGTCCAGATGTATTACTTTCAATTTGTCACAATATTGAAATATCAGCATCTCTAAGAAAAAATTCCACCTGATTCTACAACTGGTGTATTTTTAAAAGTATTATAGCTGTCTAGTCGCTTAGAAAAATTCTTCATTTTCATTTTCTCTGAATGGTAGACAGAATAGATATCTTTTATTTACTGGTTCATTCTCCTCATGCCAACAATAGTCAGGGCATGCCAGGCCAAAGACAGGCACTGGAGCTCAACCTGGGTCTTGGAGAGCAAGCTTAAGATCCAAGTACCTGAGCCACTAACTGCTGTCTCCCAGAGGATACATTAGCAGGAAGCTGGACCAAGAGTAGAGCACCTGGCACACAAACCAGCAGGTGTCCTATGGAGTAACTTATACCACAAGCCTGCCCCTATGATTATACCTGTGTTATTTTCTGTGGTCTACATTCTCTTTGGCTTCCATGTAACATTTCTTCTATATTTCCATCTTTGAATCTCTGCCCCAGCACTAAGAACATTACAAAATACTCTAAAACCTAATGGGGTGTCATGGTGTAGTACATTAAGTTGCTACTTGTAGTGTTAGCAACATATTTTGTCATCAATTCAATTCCCAGCTGCTCCACTTCCAATCCAGCTCCCCATTAATGTGCCTGGGGAGGCAGCGGAGAACAGCCAAAATGCTCGGTCCCTTGCATCCACATGACAGAGTCAGAGAACCAGTTCTGGCTTAGCCTGGTCAGTCACTGTGGCCATCTGAGAAGTGTACCAGCAAAAGGAAGATTCCCCTCCTCTCTCTCTCTAAATATATAAAACTCTAATTTCCAAATAAATAAAATAAATTTTCAAAACATTCTAGTAGGGCAGACGAACGTTGAAGCCTGTTAACAAAGTACAAATAACCAAGATACCAATGGAGTCAAATACAGAAGAACATTCATGTTCTACAAGATAGAGGGCACAAAGTTGCCACCATCACACTAACTTTCTCTAATGTTCTTTTAGGTAATGTTAACTCATCTGAACTTTGAACTATTTTACAAGGACCAATACAATCACAGTTTCTAAAAAGTTTTCCATTTGGGGGCAGGTACTGTGGCACTGGGTTAAGCTCCCAGCCACCTGAAGCACTGGCATCACATATGGGCACAGTTAGGAGTTCTGGATGCTTCAATTCCAATCCTGTTCCTTGTTAATGTTTCTAGGAAAGTTCCAGAAGATGGCCCACATACTTGGACCCCTGAACCCATGTGGGATACTCAGGTGAAATTCCTGACTTCAGCTTGGCTGAGCTGTGGGTGATGCAGCCATTTGAGGAGAGATATGCTCTGTCTTGTCTTCTCTCTGTGCAATTCCAACATTCAAATACATACATAAATTTTAACAAAATAAAGTCATATATTTTGAAGTAATTGTTATAGGATGAAGAAAAACTACACAGTCTCAACATACTCTTAAACCACTTTTTCTGAACTGTGGCTATCTCACATAGTTACAGTATAACAAAACTAGGAAACCACAGCAGGCTTTTGATGTGCAGTTAAGACGTCATTTGGGATGCCTGCATCCCAGAGGAGGGCCTGAGCCAAGGTTTTCCTTACTCCTCAATTAGTTTCCTGCTAACAGACAACCTAAGAGACAACAGGTGGTGGCTGTTAGTTGGACCACATGGGAGATATGGACTGAGTTCCTGGCTTCGGGCTGGCACAGCTCTAGATGTTTCAAGCTTCTGGACAGTGAAGACCAGATTTAAGATCTTTATTTTCTTTTAGTAAACCTCATTCTTTCAAATTAATATCACAGTTTATTTTCCTTATTTCGTTCTATTCAACCTTTCTTTAAAATTAATATCACAGTTTATTCTCTTATTGACTGTCAATATTTCAAAGTTTTAAAAATAAAAGTTTATTTTAAAAAGAGTCAATTTGGAACATTTGGGAAAATTTATTAGAAATAAACTGATATGTCCCAAACCTTCCTACAATTCAAGCAAGAGCAGAGAATTTAATCTTTTCAGATATTAAAGAAAATAAAATTATTGTTAAACATCTATTATTGGCATGACAACATGCAAGGTTTTAAAAAAAATTACATGACTTACCCCACCCTGGTGGCAAAGGACCGAGGGGATCAAATTCTTTATTTTGTGATGTAGCAAACAAATCTTGATTCTAAAATAAATAGTAATAAAAAATGGTGAAATAATGAAAAGCTTTAAACAGATTATTTCAGAGCACGCTTGAGTGCTTATATGCCTCTCCTGGACAGGTCAATACAACATTCTTACAGAATAAGAACTATAGCAAAGTGTCACATGGTTGTGAATAATCACCAGTTTACTTTGGCGGAATATTTGTCAGGATTATCTAACACCTAGAATCACGTGAAATTAAAATATATAAAACATAATCCATACATTCCAAATTACCATTTTTTTCTTTACTATAAGCTTATCATCAGTAATGTAAAAATCAGAAAAATAACCCAAGTTTTTTTAAATTTAATTCTTTTATTATTATTATCATCATCATTTTATGATATAGTTCCACCGGTCCTGCAATTTCCCTTATCACCTCCTTAATCCATCCCCTCATCACTGAGTTCCCTATATTAATACTATAGTACAGTAACACTATAGTATAGTTCTTCCTATGTGCATCACTGCAGGCATGGGTAATGGCCGAGAGTCCAGCCTCCTATTGTCAAGATCTTTAGTCTGGAAGTAGAGCTGCATACTGCATTGTATCCTCATATCTGGATATGACAGTCTTCATTACACAGTTCCTATACATCCGTTAATGAAAGGCCACAATACAAAATTAACAACAGGAAGAAAAATAGAAATTTATAATGCCAGAAAAATGCTTTTTGTTAAGTTTCATCTCTTCAAAACACTTTCTTATTAAATTCTTCAATGACTCATAGATCATACAGTAGCATCATTTTCTTCAAGAAGGTTTTTGATTGTCTTCACACTAGTCATTCAGTAACATGTTATTTGTTATTTAACTTCATGGTGTTGTTAATTTTTTTTTCTTACTGTTGTTGATTAGTTTTGTGGCTTTTCATTTAAGGGGATGTACAGTAACCATGTAATAGAGACTCTCATATCTAGTAGCATGTTATTTAACACAAGTTATTTTTTTTTTTTTTAAAGATTTATTTTTATTATTTTTTCATTGGAAAGGCGGATATACAGAGAGGAGAGACAGAGAGGAAGATCTTCCGTCCGATGATTCACTCCCCAAGTGAGCGCAACGGGTCGATGCTATTCCGATCCGAAGCCAGGAGCCTCTTCCGGGTCTCCCACGCGGGTGTAGGTTCCCAAAGCTTTGGGCCGTCCTCGACTGCTTTCCCAGGCCACAGGCAGGGAGCTGGAAGGGAAGCGGGGCTGCCGGGATTAGAACCGGCGCCCATATGGGATCCCGGGGGTGCAAGGCGAGGACCTTTAACCACTTGCGCCACCACGCCGGGCCCAACACAAGTTATTTTTAATATTATTAGTTTTTCAGATGGCTGAAAAAACCACCTTGCTATGTATGAATAACTTGAAAGTGGGTATCAATACCAACAAAGGATAAACAGAACTATGGGAAGGGAATTGAGGTTATTTTGAGAATAAAATGAAGATGCTTTACAAATTAAAAAAAAAAACACCTTAGCTAGATGATAAGAAAATGGAGTCACCCTCTAACTACACAGGCTCCTGGGTGTATTCTGGTTTACATGTACACGAAGGAAGATAATTACGCGGTCACTTAAACACTTGGCTAAGCCCTTGCTTCTTCCTTTAGAATGAGACAACAAAACAATAAACTCATTTTAAAAAAATAATCAGAGAATAAACCACTGAAGGGGAATTCTCACTGCCTGCCTCTCTATGAAATAAATAAAAATGAAAAACAGAAATATTATGGAGAGCAAAAAAAGTAAAATAGGACAACAAACCACATACACATCTCCAGTAGTATTCAACAAGCATCAATACTTATGTTTTTTCTTTTTTTCCTATTTTAATGAAACAAAATCAAACATTATTTCAACTCTACAGTTTAGTATGCCTCTCCAAAACCTACGCATTTTCTACATACACTCAATAATGTTATTACCCCAAGGAAAGAAACAAAGTTAATTGTTACTATTTAGTACCTAATGTGTGAACAAATGGATGATACCTCATTTGTTAAAATCAGGATCCAAAGTCTCAAATCTTTCATCCACTGTTTCACTCCCCAAGTGGCCACAACAGCTGGAGCTGAGTCTATCCAACGCACATAATCAGGAAGCCGGATTGGGACAAAGTAGCCAGCATTTTAGTAAGCAATGCAGGTATTGCAGGCAGCAGCAGCTTAACCCTCTGTACCTCACACTCACTCTTCAGTCAGTACTTTTCAATTTAACTGAGCGAATAATTTTCTTAAACAACATCCCCAGTTACAATCAGTTTTCTGGCTGGCTCATTATTAGAAGAACAAAACTAAAGTCTCGGCTCTCCTCTGGTTGGAGGCAGGTGGGCTGGACACAACAGATGCCCTGAGTGGGAAAGCATTTAGCAGAGACGTGCTCCTGTTTTCGTAATTCTTTAAGACTCAAGACTGGGGCCGGTATTGTGATGTAACAGGTTAAGCCTACGATGAAAGCATCCAATATCTGTGACAGTTCAAGTCTTGGCTGCTCTACTTTCGATACAAATCCCGATCCCTGCCAATGCACCTTGGAAAGCAGCAGCAGATTCGTACTTGAGATCCTGTACTCACTTTAGAATGGGAAGCATCTTTGGGCTCCTGGTGTCAGCCTGGGCCAGCCCTGGCAATTGCAGCCATGCAAGGAGTGAATCAGCAGATATAAGATCTCTACATCTGGGGCCCGGTGCAATGGCTCAGTGGCTAAAGCCTTGCCTCACACAGGCCAGCATCCCATATGGGTGCCAGTTCATGTCCAAGCTACTCTACTTCCCATCCAGCTCCCTGCTTACAACCTGGGAAAGCACCAGAAGATAGCCCAAAGCCTTGGGATCCTGTACTTGTGTGGGAGACCTGGAAGAATCTCTTGACCCAACTCCAGCCATCTGGGAAGTAAACCAGCAGATAAACTAGTTCTTTATCTCTCTCTCTCTTTCCTTTTCTCTGTAAATTTGCATTTCCAATAAAAAGAAATAAATCCTTTTTTTAAAAATCTCTATGTCTGTCCTGGATATTCCACTTTCTAGCCAGCTCCCTGGAAGAGGTTTCCCGGCTTCTTACTGGCTCAGCTCTAGCCACTGTGGCCTTTTGGGTAGTAGACTAGCAGTTGAAAGATCTTCAAATATGCAAAATATGCCTTTCAAATGATAATGAATAAATCTTTTAACAAATTTTTTTAAAGACACCAAACAAAAAATATGAACAAAAAACCCTGAATGTTACTGTTAATGATGAGCAGGCTGCTCACCCCATAGATGAATCTCTGGTTGAACTGCTGCATTGCTCCTTGAAGTTGACTACGCTGTAGCTGCCACTGTTCATAGTTCCGGACGGATTCCAAGGTTGGCCTCTGCCACGTTGTTGTTCTTGTAAAATGGTCAACATAATAAATACGTCCCATGTTGTCCACTCGCCGTTCCCAGCTAAATCAGAACAAAAATAGACTAATACAACAAATATTTGTGAAACAGATATAAGATTTTACCTGAGGAAAAAACTTTAAATCTGTCCAAAGGCTTTATAATTTTTAAATGAGTGAATTTAAGATGTCTATGAATGAACTTAAGAATATACCTAAAAATGTAGATTAAAATACTTTTTCTAATTATTTTATATAACACAAATGTTAAATTCTTAGTATTATCATTCTCTAACCATTTTGCATTAATTTTGTTAAATCTTCTATGTAATAAGGACTTTATTTCTTATGTATAGTTGAGTTATAATTCCTATTCAGTTAAATATTTTATGTCTTGAAGAAATAAAGCTTACGCCCTGCAGCTCTGAGCCAAGAAAACATGCAGGAAATGAAAGAAGTGGGTGTCTAGCACAGAACTTTGGGATGTCTATGTCCTATATTAGAATGTCTGACTTCAGTTCCAGCCACTCACAATTCATTTTTCTGCCAATGGACATAACTAGAGGCAACCACATGGGCGACCTGGATGAATCTCCTGGCTATTGGCTTTGGTCTAGACTATCCTTGTTTATTGTGGACATATGGGGATAAGATAGTGGACAGTGCCTCTCTGCTCCTTAAATAAAGTGAAAATACATAAAACTTTAAAATGAAGTTAAAATAAAAATCACTTATCATAATCAATTCTCTTTCTCCTTTCTAGCTTTCCCCTACACAAAACAAAGTAGATAGAGAAGGAACTGAGAGAAATATCGGAAGAATGAAGATTGGATCTAGATAGAGCCCACAGTTCTGAATAAACACATTATCTTTCTAATTGAAACACTTACCCAGGAGGTAGAGGCTCAGGTCTATCCCATGTGGTTCTTTTTTCAACATGATCTACATAGTAAACTCGCCCATGCTGGTCCACTCTCTGCTCCCAACTTAAACAAAAAATTAGAAAGGACTTGCATGAGCAGCAGTGAAAAGAGGGAATGATACTTTTGCTATACAAGAGCCTGTTCTAAAGAGATCTGAGGTCAGTCTACTTAGATCAAACTCATTCTCACATCAGTATTTGAATGGAAAAGAGAATTATAGTCAATTCTATGAAACTAAACAAAAACTGAACTGAGAGTAAGCCTTGTTAATTCTAGAAAAAAAACAAAAATAACAGTCTTTACCACTTGTGCTTCTGCACACTCTAAGAATTAAGTTTATATATTGGCCAATCTGAATATTCGGATTTCCTTGGAAGGTTTACCACCAAACTGAAGCAGATAGAAATAAACTGTTACAACTGGGAAGTAACTTCTAGAAACACTCTTTTTTGCAAATCTCTTGTAAAAATACTCTGCAAGTTTGGCTTCCCACGGAAGTGCCTAAATTATGAATTCAGTAATAAAACCTATATAGGATTAAAATTCTCATGAGAGCCTGCCAATTGATTCATTAACTTTGATTACATTCTAGACTCAGGAATATTATTATTTTTGCAATATATAAAATTTATATATAATAAGTAGAGATTAAAATAGGATCAAAATATTAATTTTCTTTTTCCTAAACTATTACCTTATGACAAGGTGATTATTTTATTATCTGACTTTAGTTAACTTTCCATGGCTTAAAAAAATCCCTCAGGGCTAGAACTATAGCACAGCAAGCTAATCCCACACCTGAGGGACCAGCACCCTACAGAGGCACCAATTCACATCTCAGCTGCTCCACTTCCTATCCAGCTCCCTGCTTATGGCCAGGAAAAGTAGTAAAGGAACCCAAAGCCCTGGTACTCTGTACCCACGTGGGAGACCAGGAAGCACCTGAATCCTGGCTTCAGATTGGTTTAGCTTTGGCTACTGTGGCCATCTGGGGAGTGAACCATTGGATACAAGAACTTTCTCTCTCTCTCCTCCTCTTTGTAAATCTGCCTTTCAAAAAAAAATCCTTTAAAAAAAATCCATAAATTTTAAGATTTACTGCAGTACTATTCACAAAAGCTAAGAAATTAGGGTCCAGTACGGTAGTCTAGTGGCTAAAGTCCTCATCTTGCAAGCACCAGGATCCCACATGGGCGCTGGCTCTAATCCCAGTGGCCCTACTTTCCATCTGGCTCCCTGCATGTGGCCTAGTAAAGCAGCTGAGGCCAGCCCAAAGCGCTGGGGTCCTGTACCCGCCTGGAAGACCACGAGCAAGTTCCTGGCTCCTGGTTTCTGATCTGCTCAACTCCGGCCACTGGGGCCACTTGTGGAGTGAAACATTGGACAGAAGATCTTTCTCTCTGTCCCTCCTCTCTCTGTATATCTGCTTTTCCAATAAAAATAAGTAAATCTTAAAAAAAAAAAACTAAGAAATGAAAGGAATCTAAGTGTACAGTTAAAATATGTTATATAAACACATATGTAGGTTATCCAGAAATCAGGATGAAATTTTGTCATTTGCAAAAATATTGGTAGAAACAGAACTCACTGCTAAGTGAGATAAGCCAGGCAGACAAAGATAAACACCAAGTGATCACTCCGATGTGAAATCTAAAAGTTGATCTCGTGGAAACAGACAGTAATTAGCAGCGGATGGGCAGAGCACAAAAGAGCTACAAGAACTGGAAGTATGGAGAAAGTCCATCAACGAGCACTAACAGCCAGCTACTGAGAAGTAAGTCCAGTGTGTTCCACTGCACAGCAGAATAACTATTACTAATACACTGCACAGTTCAAAAAACTACAAAGAAAGGTCTGAATTATTTCAAGACATAAAATTATTAATATTTGGAAATATAGGTATGATCAGAAAATTATACAACTGATAATGTATCAAAATAATGGTAATCCCCATGGAGACATATAATTCAGACATATTAATTTACAAAAAAATTTTTAATTAAAATACATGATTCCTGGGGTATCTCATACAGTAGTTAATCTATCACCTGAAATACCAGCAATCCGTATTAGAAAGTCTGGGATTAAATATTGGGTAAGCTTGTTTTTTTTTTAAAAATTCGTTTTATTTTTATTACAAAGGCATAATACAGAGAGGAGGGACAAAGAAGAAGATCTTTCGTCTGATGATTCACTCCCCAAGTAACCGCAAAGGCCAGTGCTGAACCGATCTGAAGCCAGGAGCCAGGAGCCAGGAACTTCATGTTCAAGGTGAGGACTTTAGCCGCTAGGCAACCACGCGAGGCCCCTGGGTAAGCTTCTTTTTTTTTTTTTTTAAAGATTTATTTTATTTTTATTGGAAAGGCAGATATACAGAGAGGAGAGACAGAGAGAAAGATCTTCCGTCCGATGATTCACTCCCCAGGCGGCCGCAACGGCCAGAGCTGAGCCAATCCGAAGCCAGGAGCCACATCCTGGTCTCCCACACAGGTGAAAGGTCCCAAAGCCTTGGGCCTTCCTTGACTGCTTTCCCGGGCCACAGACAGGGAGCTGGATGGGAAGCAGGGCTGCTGGGACCAGAACCAGCGCCCATATGGGATCCCGGGCGTGCAAGGCAAGGACCTTAACCATTGCGCCACCGCGCCGGGCCCCCCTGGGTAACCTTCTAATTCCAATTCTAACTGGGCGAGTTCATGCACATTGTGTGCATGTGATGACTTGAGTATTTGGGTCTCTGCCCCCGTGTGGGAGTCCTGCACTGAGTTCCCGGCTCCTGTCTTCAGCCTGCTTCAGTCCTAGCCAGTACGAGTACTTGGACAGTTCAGACAGAAGTTGGGAAAGCTCTTGCAAATAAGCAATAATAAAAGCAAATAATGGGCCAGTACGATAGCGTAGCGGTTAAAGTCCTCGCCTTGAATGCGCTGGGATCCCGTTTGGGCACCAGTTCTAATCCCAGCAGCCATGCTTCCCATCCAGCTCCCTGCCTGTGGCCTGGGAAAGCAGTCAAGGATGGTCCAAAGCCTTGGGACCCTTTCCTTGTGTGGAAGTCCCAGAAGAAGCTCCTGGCTCCTGGCTTCGGACTGGTTCAGCTCCGGCCACTGCAACCACTTGGGGAATGAATCATCAGACGGGAGATCTTCCTCTCTCTCTCTCCTTCTCTGTGTAAATCTGCCTTTCCAAAAAAAATCAATAGACCTTTTAAAAAAATAGCAAATAACTTTATCATTCACATTATGCTTTGCCTGGAAACAAAATGGAAAAGATTTCAAATGTGTTAAGCTTTTTTTGTTCATTTTGACTATACCACAGGATCAGTTACAACAGATAAAGAGAATTACTGAAAGAATAAAATTATTCTAATAATACTTTTGTTTTTATTGACGACTAGTAGGAATCTAAAGAACAAATATTTATCAAAAAATATTACTTACCCAGGTGGGAGGGGAGCTTGAGTGACAGGATTTAATGGCCTAGGGCCTGCACCTCCAGCTATAGTAAGAGGAATTATTAATCCAGATGCTGCTCCTTCAGATGCACTTGTACTTGTGTTCGTACTTGTACTTGTACTTGTTTGCAGAGAACCTGTACTGGATCCATCACTTTCAGAAGTAGCAGGTGGTGAACCATTGACAGATGCTATAAAAATTTGGGGAAAGCAGGAACACTCTTATTTTCAGAAATCTAAATTAAATATCAAATTTTAACAGCAAAGAAGTAGGAGAACAAATTTAATACATGCATACAGAGCTGAAAAATTTTCCAATTAACAGAATTACTCTCATTTCATATAACTCTATTTACTTTATGCCTCTCATATTTACTTTATGCCTCATTATTAATTATAAAATGCAACTGCTTTTATTTCCTGATGCCCCAAGAAACAAAAATTTTTAAGGTAATAAAGTTAATATTCTGTGGTATTGAAATTTGTAATTTCATTTGTAATTTCCCTTATCTTTAAAAATCCCTTTGTTGGAGCTGATACTGTGGCTTAGCACGTAATACCGACACCTACATTATCCCAGCGTGGGCACAGGTTCAAGTCCCAGATGCTTCACTTCAGATCCAATTCCACGCTAAAGCATTTGGGTGAACAATGGTACAGGGTTCTAGGACTTTGCCCTGGTACCCATGTAGGAGACCTGGAAGAAGCTCCAGGCTCTCAAATACCCCAGCTCTGGTCATAGTGGCCATTTGGAAAGTGAATCAGCAGACTGAAGATCTTACTGTCTCTCTCTTTCTCTCCATAATTCTACTTTAAAAAAAAAAAGCCTTTCCTATGAAAATTTTGCAGATTACAGGCTAATTTTTAATGTTATTATTTGAACGGTCTGACTGATTTGATGATATTATTACAAATAGTTATTAAAGCACTGCATTTCTATTAGCTGGCAGATGCTGGCATGGGAGGCAAATCTTATCAAGTTAAACAGCAGAACCACCTGGAGAGTGCAAGATCCAAGAGTGAGAGTGGGCCCAGTGGGGAAACAGTGGGCACCTCCCTCTTGGGTGGCCACTCCGACTGGTGAGCATGAGAAACAGGACTAGGGCAGCCATGGCTAGACAGAATGGTACCCACCGTCACATGTGTGGGCTGGAAAGTGGAGCTGTTTGGGTTGAACTAGACTTCAATGTCCATTGACATGTATGAGAGCTGAATGGGATATGGGACAGAATGAACCAGAAGGGCAAGCATGGGAACCAGGACAGGGGGTGGGCTTAGTGCGGGTTATTGCAAGTCGCTCTGACTTTGCTGCAGCTCCCACTGGTTTGCATGAGGGCCAAGTGTGTGGCTGGACTGCAACACACATTGGTTCATGTGGGAGACAGGGCTAGAAACAGAACTGACCCAGTAATTGCAATCACCAGCCTGTACATAAGCTGATTGGGGCAACAGACTGTGCTGGACCCTGTATTCGCAAGCACACACAAGAATCAGGTCTAAGTTCACCACAAACGAGGTTTCTATGGGGATCCCCTCCCCCAAGTGTACCACTACACTCAGAACCCCAACAATGGAGAGAATTGAAGGTTCCATGGTCTGACCAGGCAGTACATGTATCAGAGCTAGGCCTCCTGAGTGGCTTCAACAGAGCAGTGGACAGCATATCCAGGTGCATATGGGGGATACGGCAGCACACTGGAGTCTGCAGAGAACACCTGGTACCACAACAGAGATCAGAGGACAGAATCAATCGATCAATTACCCCAGCCAAGTGTTGGCAGTGAAGATCTGGGCAAAAGGAGACTAAGGTGGACTATATCAACCAATAGATTCTGGAGAGATTTCATCATGGTTGAAGTGACAAGATCAGCAGCAATACAGAACTGTTGAACTATCAAAATCTCTTGCCCAAGACCCTCAGAGCATGCCCCATCTTAGGGACATGGGGTGCTGTCAGGTGGCTGTCCTCCATTCCAGGGTACAGAGGCATTTGGGAGGCAGAGTGTGGCTTCTCCCCTTATCTCCTTCCCCCAGATAAAGTAAGGAAAATAAAAGAGAATGTGCAAATGGTGATCTTACCCACCTTGCTGTAGCCCTTGATCCTTATCACCCTAATTAAATACGCAAAACTCATCAAAATAAATAAATAAATCTTTTTTTTAAAGAATTTTTAAATTATATTTTTGACAATCTTTACATAGTTAATTAGGGTAAAAAGGTTCAAGGGCTATAGAAAAGTGGGTAAGACTATTATTTCCATATTGTTTCCTTCATGTTTAAAGCGGGGTATTAAGGGAGAAGGCCCACCTAATTTCCCACCCTTCAGGTCCCGGATGTAGGGTATGTTCCGAGGTTCTTGCTCAAGTGGTTTTGATAGTTCAACAGCTATGAATCACTGCCAATCTTGCCACTCCAAGCACAATGAGGTCTTTGAAGAATCCACTGATTGACATAGTCCATCAGAGTCTCCATTTGCCCCATATTTCGCTGCCAACATATAGCTGAGATGGTTTATTAACCTGTTCTGTCTTCTCTCTTTTCTTGGTTAGGGTTCTGAGCCCAGCATTTCGATTGGAGAGAACCACAAAGAAACTTTGTCTGAGGTGTTCTCAGACCAGATTCCTGTATGTACTAGCAAGTACAGGGCCCAGCATAGTCCATCAATAAATAAATCTTTAAAAAAATAATAATAAAGCACTGGATTTCTAATTTCTTTGAACATGCTTTCTAACAAAACAATTCCTGGGGGTGACATGATGGCTCAACTGGCTAATCCTCTGCCTGCCAAGTGTCAGCATCCCATTTGGGTGCCGGCTCATAACAAAGCTGCTCCACTTTCAATCTAGCTCCCTCCTTGTGGTTTGGGAAAGCAGCAAAGGATAACCCAATGCCTTAGGACCCTACATGCCCATGGAAGACCTGGACGAAACTCCTGACTCCTTGTTTTGGATCAGCTCAGCTCTGGCTGTAATGCCACTTGAGGAGTAAACCAGTGGGTGAAAGTTATTTCTGTCTCTCCTCTGTAAATCCGACTTTCCAAAAAAAAGAAATTGAGTAATCTTTTTTTAAAAAAATTCCTAATGGAAGTCATCAGTGTATTTCCAAATCTTAAAGAGCAGGACTACACTGTTAATAATCTATCTAAAGAAGACCATATGATTTTTTTTTTGTATTTTCATCCACTTTATTCATAAATAGTAATAAAGAATTAGGTACAACTTCAAAGCCAGGTGATCTCAATTCACTTTATATCATTGTAGGAAGCAGCAAGAACAGTAAAGGAACTTGATCTGCATAAAATTTTAAACTACTATGAGGCCATCAAGACCCACTAGAATGAATCCTCTGGGATCATTCAGAGCCTTCTCACTCTCATCTACCTCTGTGCATATTAACGGGGCTAATCAAATGCTTTAATGGAACCTGATGCCTTTTTTATTTAATTTCATTTTATGACAGTTTCATAGGATCTGGGATTCCCCAACCCCTCCCCACATGAGCATATGATTAAATATAAAATCATCTGATAAAATAATTTGAAGAGCCAACACTGTGGCATAGCAAGCTAAGCCTTCACCAGTATCTTATATGGTGCCAGTTTCCGTTCCGGCTGCCCTACTTTTAATCCACCTCCCTGTTTATGGCCTGTGAAAGCATGATAGGAAACCACATGGGAGACCTAGAAAGAAACTCACAGCTCAGACAGGCCCAGCACTGGCCACTGTGGCCATTTGTGCAGTGAATCAGCAGATGGAAGATCTGTCTCTCCTTCTTTCTGTGTAACTCTGCCTTTCAAATAAAAGCAAAACAAATCTTTAAAAAATAAAATAAAAATTTTGAGACCAGCACAATAGCCTACTGGCCAAATCCTTGCCTTGCAATGTTTGGGATTCCACAGGGGCACTGATCCGTGTCCCCAGCTGCTCTGCTTCCCCATCCAGCTCCCTACTTGTAGCTTGGGAAAGCAGTAGAGGATAGCTCAGGTCTTTGCGACCCTGTATCCATATGGGTAACCCAGAGGCTCCTGGCTTTGAACTGGCTAAATTCCAGCCATTGCAGCCACTTGGGTATTGAACCAGCAAACAAAAGATCTTCCTCTCTGTAAACCTAACTTTCCAACAAACATAAATAAATATTTTTTTAAAGTTTTAAGGGCAATCAATTTCTAAAAATATTTGCTTTACTTTTTCTGGTCACATACTAGCAAAGGGAAGTAACAAAAGATTGAAAAGATTAAAAATATGAAAAACAGCCAGGTTCAGCAAAATCAAGCTTCAACACTATAAACTGCTAAATACTAAAATTAAAATAGACATGAGACAGCTGAATAGTAATCTATAGCCATTTTAAGGTGTATAGAAACCAGTTGCACATAAACTAATAATTGAAATGTCAATGTAAAAGTCACAGGATGTGGTTCAGAACTTGCATTCTTTTTTTTTTCTTTTAACATATTGATTACTCAATACCATGTCAACTAATTCCATAACATTTTAAATTGTTACTGATGTAATGTCGGGGCTTTTAATTGATCGGGATGATATTCTGCCGGCTCTACCTTCAGACCAGAGATGGTCTCCCCAAGAAACCGTTGAACTTATCTGGACAATAAGACGCTGGACTTTATACTTGGTAGGTGCTTGCAATGAAAGAATCTCAACTGAATTTGAACTGTGGTAATGCAACAAGGTGGAGGAATCCACCGGGAGGGGGGGTGGGGAATCCCAGTGCCTATAAAACTGTGTCACATAATGCAATGTAATCAATTAAAAAGATTAAAAATATGTCTTTGAGTTCATCAGAAAATTATATTCTACATGTAATTTTTTCTGATGTTACTACATTAAGCACATTCATTTACTGTATAAGATTTGCTTTAAAATTTGGTTATCATTTAGCATTGATGGGTTATCTACCATTTAAAGATTGTCTTTAAAAGGATATAATCAGAAAAAAAAAGGATATAATGAGAATAGGCAATGAGATTCTCTACTATACATCATGCTTTACAACCAGACAAATAAGTTATCTGCACTGGCCACAGAATGTACATGTGTTTTTTCCCCTCTGACCAAGTTCATTCTGTGAAGAAAAATTAAGGGAAAAGTTACTTATTGGTAACGATAAAAAAAATTACTCTTGGGAAAAAATCTTAAAATGTACAAATACAGCCAGAAAATGACTTAAAATTGTCTTCTGACAGACCTGGAAATCTACTCCCACACATTCATAGTGCAGAACTGAAAGCTGGAATACAGACCTGGTCTACGTGGGGTAGGTGGAGGTGGTCGAGACGGTCTTGGTGGTCTAGAAGGTTTAAAACCACCGTTTGAGAGAGATGGAGAATTATTCCCATTGATCCTCCTATATTCGCCAGAGCCTGCATCCTCAGGGTCATCTGATCCATTTGCATTCACTCTGGGTAAGAAGAGGAAAATAATGAATGCTCTGTGAGTTTAAGAAAAAAAGATCAGCAGGAAGAGCAAAACTGAAACTTCTATAAGTATGAGAAATCATCCCTAATTTCAGAACAGCCTCATCAAACACTTATGTCTTACACAAACAACTCACAAAGCCAATCTAGACATAGAAGTTATTCATGGGCACAGGGACAGTTGGGACCATTCAGAACTACTAAAACGTTCTACTTCAGATTTCAAAAACAAATCTTAAAAGAAGGCCCTATATAAAGAGAAACAAAGTCAAATTCACAAAATCCCAATGCTTTATCATAAGCATGATATCGTCACCATTGTTTAGCTGGTTACCACTGGTCGTTAAAAATATTTCACAATTCAAGTACAGCTGACAGGAGAAGGCCATAACACTTATCTCTCACGAACTGTGCTCCTCTTGCACCCTAGTACAACCGTACACAAAATGTTCAAAACTGATGGCCTAAAGCAAATTTGCCACAGATCTTAAATTTTTATTTATTTAGGTTTTCTGAAAGGCAGAGACAGAGACCAAAATCAAGAGAGAGATCTTCTATTCTGCTGTTTATTTCCCAAGTGCCCACAAAAATAAGGGCTGGCCCAGATGGAAGCCAATACGCAATCCAGGTATCACATGTGGGTGGAGGAGACCCTAGTATTTGAGCCATCACCTGCTGCCTCCCAGTGTGCACATTAACAGAAAGTTGGAATCTGGAACAGAGCTAAGACTTGAACCAATGGACTCAAACGCAGGCATTCTGAAATGAGAAGCACAAGTTCCCACAAAGAGATATAATCCTTTCAAAAGGATAATACCAAACGGAGAGACAGAATGGGAAGAAAGGACAGAAAAAGGAATTGTGAGGTTGAGAGCTACCACTACCATAGTTAATTTTGGCTGCTTTCCTTCAAGGAAGATCTGGTAATGGATCAGAAATGACTGAAAGAATTGCCAGTTAAGAGATGATTCCGTTACAGCTTTGATATCTACTACTGGAAACCACCACATGGTATTACTTTATACTCTGGGATCTCCAAAATCACCATGAAGAAAATAAAATTCAGTGGACTTAAGTTAAACCACCAATTACAATGCCAATATCCTTTATGAGCACCGGCTTGAGTCCTGGTTGATTCTCTTCTAACTAACCTATCTGCTAATGCTGTCTGGAAAAACAGCAGATGTCCCAAGCACTTTGGCCCCTGCCAGTCATGTGAGTTCTGAGCTCCTGGCTTTAACTTAGCCTGGCCCTGGCCATCTGGGGAGCGAACCAAGAGATATCAGAGGGTTCTCTCTTTCTCTCTCAAATATATACAAAAAGTAAAGTATGACAAGAATTGTTTTGGGAGTCCTCAAATGCTTACTCTAAAACAGTTCAGGGACTGGCATTGTGGCATAGTGGGTAAAGCCACCACCTCTAATGTTGGCATTCCAATATGGGTGCCAGTTCGATTCCTGGCTGCTTCATTTCTGATCCAGCTCCCTGTTAATGTGCCTGGAAAAGCAGCATAAGATGGCTCAAGGACTCGTGTTTCTGTGCCAACAAGGGAGACCAGGAAGTTCTTGGGTCCTGGCTTTGACCTGGTCCAGCTTCAGCCACTGTGGCCATTTTGGGGATGAACCATCAGGCAGTAGCTTGCTTTTCATTTCTTTGTGTGTACTCTTTCATATCAATAAATCAATCCCATTATTTTTTCTTTTTAAGGGACAGTTCAGCAATCAGTCAACCCTCTTGGAATGTAAGCTGAATGCAGGCATTCTAAATGCAGTAAGAGTTAGTTTTGATACTGTTCCCCTTCCGCTAAATTTTCCCATAAGTTATGTTTCAAACCCATCTGAAGTCGTAATGCTTTCTGAAACTGAGTACTGTCTTCCTAAACTATCTTAACAGATTACTAGTCAATTAGAAAGAAGAATTCTTGGTTTTCGAGACAGACAACAATTTCAGGCAATGTGATCTAGTGGTTAAGATGTAAGCATTCCCACAACTGTAGCAGCCACCTAGACTGCTTAGCACCTAGGCAAGTATCCTACTGTTTGAAGAAAAGCAGCCAGCAGCTGATTGGCACTCTGGGCCTGGTTAATGAAAAGTTTATGTTAACTATACCAGTGGGCCAATATAATTGCCTGTTTAAATGTATACATATTGGGGAACACACAGAATGCCAGGAATGCAGGAAATGCCAGGCTGGGACATGCTACCCTGGTTTCCAGTGGGTGGAGGAGAGGAGGGAACTGCAGATTGCCCAGCAAAGGGGTCTGGGGACGTATTGGAGTAGGAACAGCCGACAGCATGTTTGACAGGGAAGGAATGACTTCTGGAGTCTTCTCACACACTAGGCCACTGCACTTGGAGGTAGGCAAGAAAGCAGAGATGGAGTGGTTTTAGACACATGAGGCCGAAGGGCATGTCTAGGAAGGTCAGGGCACCTGCCCACATGGCAGACCTAGGCTGGGCTACACAGCATTGTTCATTGTCCACTGGGGAATATCTCACTGGGCTGGGTCACAGTACCCCATCATCAGTGTCAGAGCTGGGAATGGGCCATGTCAGGCTGGACCACAGCATCTTTCAGAACCCATGAGAACTGGATCACGAGAGATTCTGTAAGGGATTTTTGGGTTTACCCCTGAAGGACTGCAATATCTACAGGCTTGCATAGAGAGCTGGGTAGGGGGGTCATGATGGGTTGAGCCAGGCTAGACCACAGAACTCATGTGACACTCATGGGAGCAGGATCTGGGAAGAGGCCAGGCTGGGCCAGACCGTAACATCCTGTTGACGTGCCTGGGAAAGCAGCAGAGGATGGAATAACTCCCTGGGCCCCAGAACTCACAAGGGAGACAAGGAAGAAACTCCTGACTTCAAACTGGTCCAGCTCCAGCAGCTGTGATCACGTAGGTAGTGAGGCAGTAAACCAGTAGATAGAAGCTCTACTCTTTGTCTCATGCTATGCAACTCTGCCTTTCAAGTAAGTAATCAGAATCTTATTAACATATAAAAAAGATATGCCCAATCAAAAATATTGCCAGAATTCTGCTTAAGATGTCTTCTCATTCTTTTTATCTATCTAAAACATTTCTGTATTTTTAATGTGCTGCATTTTACTTTTCTAATGATGAAATAAAAACTGTATATTTCCAGACTCCAAAATAACTACTAAGTTATGAGAATATCTCTTGCCAGTTCTTTCTCATTGGATATGACTGCAATGACATGATGTACAGTGGTTTCATATCCTCAGCAGGTTTTTGTTTGTTACGTACTAGGCATGTCTACAATTTATTTTAAAACATTCCGATGAACCTAAGATACCCTATAGACATATCACAATTTAATCTCTATTTTAAGAAGACATCTTACTCACTTGAATAAAAGACAAAGAAACAGACCTATCTAATGAGTCAATCCTCAGCAACAATATACGCTGGGGCTGGGTTAAGCAGAAGCCAGAAATCCAGAATTCCGTGTTTCCGCATGGCTGACAGGGGCTTAAAGCTGTGACCCACCTTCTGTTGCTTTCCAGGTATACCAGCAGGGAGCTGGTTGGACAGAGCAGCTAATACTCAAACTTGCACTCCAATATGGGATGCTAGTGCTGCAAGCAGTTCAACCTGCCACATTACAACACAAACTCCATAATTCAGTCATTTTGAGGGGGTCATCTTTGTCTTTATTTCCTTCAGATAAACCACCAGCACTGAATAGTTAAGTTAAAATATGTAATTATTGAAGTGACATTTGACATACTGGGTAAGAGGTCAGTTGGCATATCTGCTATCCCTATAGTAGCAGCACCCAAGTTTCTGGCCAATGCACACTGTAGAAGATGATAGGTGATGACTCAAGTAGCTGAGTCCCTGCCACCCCACAATGGAGACAAAGCCAGATTCTTAGCTCCCAGCTTCAGACTTGCTTAGTACTGGCAGTGCGGTATCGACAGATTTAAGCCTGCAGATTAACTACATCAGAACCACCACAGCTGGGACTTGAACCAGCACCCCTATGGGATGCCAGTGCTGCAGGAAGAGGCTCAGTTTAATATGCTAAGGCACAAGAACCTGCTTTTGCAATCTTCATTTCCCTCTTTGTCCTCTTCTTTATATAGGTAGTTAATTAATTCCTTTTCTTTAAAAAAATTTATTTTTACTAGAAAGGCAAATTTACAGAAATGAGCCAAAGAAAGATCTTCTGTCCACTGGCTTACTCCCCAACTGGCCACAATGACTGGAGCTGGGTCAATCCGAACCCACGAGCAAGGAGCTTCCTCTGGCTATCCCACAGGGTCCCAAGACTTTAGGCCATCCTCCACTGCTTTCCCAGACCAGAAGCAGGGAGCTAGGTGGGAAATGCAGCAGCCAGTGACCATATGGAATCCTGATCTGCGCAAGGTGAGGAGTTAGCCACTGGGCCATGGAACCAGGCCCTCCTTTCCCTTCTTCATGGATTGATCCTAAGGATCTCAACCCATGGTTTTCAAGATCTTCCCTGAGAATGATTCCCAAATCAATCTCTAACTTGTGTCTCAAACCTCCTATCTCCCAAGTATTAAGCTATGGACCAAATGTAAGAGATCCAGAATAAAATTTCCATTCTAAGGCTCTTCTTCCGCCTATATTTTGGCTTTATAGGTGATGCTGCTATCCCTCCAGGTAATTTTTATCCTCCCTGTGCTTTTTGGTAATAAGTTAAACAAGTGTTACTTGCACATTCTCCCTCTATATTTTCACAGCCTAGTCCTAGTTGTCATTATCTCTTGCTACCATGTGCAACAATTCCCAAAGAGTTCTTCCAACTTTCCTTTGGTTTTATATAATCCAATCTAAAAATCTAAAGTATGCATCATTGTCAGATAAAATTAACTGTATTTACAGTATGATCATACCAATCCCCTATTCACACATTGTTGACAATAACTTGTTCACATATAAAAATTTATTCCCAAAAACTCAACTCACATGCCAAACCTCCATTTTCCCCTAATTCATCAAATATGAAAAAAAACCCACTATTCATTAATGATTAAGTACATACATAATTGACATATGAATATTAGGTGGCAAGGAAAGGCAATACAAATTTCTACTCTACCAAATACACTATTTTTTTTTCCAAAGATTTATTATTATTATTGAAAAGGCACATGTGCAGAGAGGGGGATATACAGAGAGAAATTTCTTCAATTTATTGATTCACTCCCCAAACGGCTAGAACAACCAGAGCTGAGCCAATCCAAAGCCAGAAGCCAGGAGCTTCTTCCAGGTGCCCACAGCCCTCCACAAGCAGGGAGCTGGATAGGGAGTAGAGCAGCCAGGGAAATAAACGAACAAATGCAAGGTGAGGATTTAGTGACTGGGCCACCATGCCAGGGCCCCAAAATATTACTGAATCAGGCAAGTTCCTTAACTTTTTATATATCAAAATGAGACAACAGTGCCTACCATGCAGAAAAGTTTATAGATTAATTGCAAAAAGAAGAAACATGTTCAACATAATGCCTGGCACATAAAAGGAGTAAATATACATTTCCAATTTTACGCACCAACTTCTTATCTATGGGACAGGTGTCTGGTGTAGCTTGGGGTGCATGTATACTGGAGTTCCTTGTTGGCATGCTGGATACTCTGCTTTCTATCCAATTTTTTGCAGTGTACATACCCTGGCAGAGATGCTGGCACATGCAAGGTGAGGACTTCAGCCACTACGCTACAGTGCCAGGCCCTTACTTTAAGCTTTAATGACTGGCTATTCTCCCTTGTATCTATTTGCATTCTGTGGTAAGCAGTCAGTAAACTCTTACCTTGTTTCCTCCTTAGATCTGGAGCCATCATCATTCTGTGAAGCACCTTTAACATCAATAAAATTCAAAAAGAAAGTTAGTTTCAAGAGAGTAATTTTCAACTATTTTTGTAAATATGCCAGGTAAGCAAAACCATTCACTAAAAATGTTTCTAGAAAAAAACATAATGTATTAGATAAATCCAATATAGTTTCAAAAGAAAAAAAAAGTAAAACTTAAGATGTACCAAATTTCACTGATTCTAATCCCGGCAGCCCTGCTTCCCATGCAGCTCCCTGCTTGTGACCTTGGAAAACAGTCGAGGATGGCCCAAAGTCTTGGGACCCTGCACCTGCGTGGGAGACCTGGAAGAGGTCCTGACTCCTGGTTTCGGATTGGCTTAGCTTAAGCCATTGCACCCACTTGGGGAGTGAACCACTGGACAGAAGATCTTCTCTGTCTCATCTCCTCTCTGTATATCTGCCTTTCCAATAAAAATAAATAAATCTTTACCAAAAAAAGATGTACAAATTTGCATAAATACTAATCATTATGTATAACACATGCCAACAAGTGAAAGATATTACTCATGTACTACTTACCCTTTTTTGAAATATATTGTTGATTCTAGTTAAATCCTGATATTTTAGCCATTTTCTGTGTCCCAGTTATTTCTCAAAAGCATTAATACAATAATACTGGTACAACAGCAACACAGACTAATCCTCTATCTTCTGGCACTGGCATTCCATATTGGTTCTAGTTCATGTCTTAACTGCTCCACTTTCAACACAGCTGCCTACCTGTGGCCTGGGAGGGCAGTAGAGGACAGCCCAGAGCCTTGCATTCCTGCACCTACGTGGGAGACCCACAGAAAGCTCTTGGCTTCAAATCAGCTCAGAGATCAGCTCAGATTTGGCTGTTGTAGCCATCTGGAAAGTAAACCAGCAAATGGATTACTTCTGTATTTCTCCTTCAATCTATAAATCTGCCTTTCTAGTAAAAATAAATGTTAAAAAAAAAAAACTGATCTCCAGGAAGATGATCAACAAAACAATTTTTGACAATGGGAAAACCAGTAATGTTTTTCTTTATGCAGGAAACAGCTTTAAAAAAATAGAAACAGTACAAATGAGTCACACAGTAGCTGAAATGAACGCCACAGCAGTCATTTTCTTCACAGGACACACCTCTAAGTCTTAGAGTCTGCACAGTACACTGCGGCAGAGAGAGGCTGCACACTGACAGCAGCAAAACCAGACTGTGGGCAAAGAAGAATAAAGATATAAAGGCAAAACACAAGGATCTAGTTTAACATCCAGATCCACTTACTAAAAGAAAAATAGTTCCTAAACAGCCATGGTTTTGAACACTAAAATCATTCCTATTTTACCCAGAGCAAAATTAACAGACTAATTTAGTAAAAATATGCTGATTTGCTGACATGCCATACCACACATTTTTAAACAATGGTAGACACATAAGGACAAAAGGAAGCATTCGTATTCCATGACAAATTATTTAGTAATTAAAAAAGATATATTAAAATATGTCAATATTGAACTTCAAAAACATAATACTAAGTAAAAAGCCAGACACAAAAGACCACATGTGGTACCAAAATGTTCAGAAGAGAATTAAGATGGCAGAATAGAGTAAGAACACGTTTAAACAGACGGAGAAATAGTAGCGAGTGGGAAGCAGAGAGGGCACATTCTGGAAAACAGGAGAGGACAGAATGACAGCAGAGGGGCACCTGAAGACTGACAGACACAGGAAAGCAGCGCACACAATGGTGTGGTGTTGCAGTGACTGACACACCAACAGCATTCAGCGAGCAGCAATCTGAACGCCACCAGCAAATAAGGGTGGGAACGCGTGTTTACTGGGATCCTCTGCAGGTGAACTGTTGACCAGGAGCAGAGACAGAGCGGCAGGTCCCAGATGGGCAGTGTGGGAACAGGGTGAATTTCACAGCACACTGCCCTCTAGAGACTATCATAACCAGTAGCATGTTATTTAACTTTATGACATTGTAAATTTTTATTTTTCTTCCTGTTGTTGATTTTGTATTGTGGCTTTTCATTTAAGGGGATGTATAGTAACTGTGTAATGTAGACTATCACATCCAGATGTGAAGATACAATGCAGTATACCTTTCTGTCTCCTCTTCCTTCTGTCATTCTTATTCAAATAAATATTAAACAAGCAAACAGGAAGTACAAAGTTTTTCACCAAAGCAGACAGAGTAGTCAAAGCACATGACAAACACAAATGCTTCCTAATGCAATCTGTAAATAAATAAGTCTTTGAAAGATAAGTAAGGAAACCATCAATATGCTTTGTTCTAGAGATTCTGAAATCTATACGTCATGTGAAAATACCCATTGGTAATAAATAGAAAAATGTTAGTGATACAGTCATTAATTTCAGGTGCCACCAGAAACTTCTACTGATCACAGCTCTAAATCAAAAATTTAAGATATGCCAGCTCATATTTAATTTTTTGTTAGTCTAACAGCATAAATTGTTTCTTTACGTAGCTTACAGAAATGGATGAGGAATGGCAAATGGATTTTAGTTTGTATTTGTTGTCTGGTAGTACTAAGAAGAATTATAAGTCATACTGAACCTCAACCAGACACTGCTATAAAAAATAAATTATGTCATTAACATCAGAGGTGGTGTGACATGAGATATCACACTAACTGGCACACAGAACAAACACTTCTTTTGAAAAAGATTTATTTATTTTTATTACAAAGTCAAAATACACAGAGAGGAGGAGAGTCAGAGAGGAAGATCCTCCATCCGATGATTCACTCCCCAAGTGAGTGTAACAGCCGGCGCTAGGCCACGCTGCTGGGCCCAGAATAAACACCTTATAAAACAATTCTTTACTACTGTACCATCTATAATTCAAGTTTTGCTTGGCTAATTTTTCAACTTTTTGAAAAATATGTTTTTTGAACCACAGAAACAATGCATTAAAAAATGTTGAAAGTAATCAGTCTCTTTTTTGAAAAAGAAATTATTGTTTAATCAGAAAAGGAACAGCAATAATTACACAGAGCATATTTCTAATAAAATAAATACTAAATACTTTACATAAGTATTATTAAACATTAAATATTAAAAATAAAAGCTTTTTTTTAAAAACAAAAAGTGATCTCTTACTTTCTGAACATGTAGTTTCACCATTAGTGACGACCTCGGAATCTAACTGCAGCCCATCAAGACACACTGACAAGTCTCCGACCGTCTCTGTTGGTTCTCTGTCACCTACAAGCTGCAAAGTCACAACCACTTCTTCAACTGTAAGAAAAAAGTTACAGGGAAAAATGGGCCTCTTTTTTCTTTTCTGCAACCTTAGATGTTAAAATATAGTATCAGAATAAAGTGTCTGAATGCATAAGCATATCTATTGTTATACTACACACTTCATAAAATATTTGAGGCTTTCTGACACCAAAACACAATAATTTTATAGACAACAGAATCTCTTATTAAGTCCATAATACAAACCATTAAATATCTATCACTTCATTTATTAAATTCATCCTTGCGATATAGGCTACAACATAAAATGAGCCATCACAACAAACATAACTCAGCAATTATACTGAATTAAAATGTATCCTAACAATGGATTATATAAGCCCTAAACAAGAAAGAAAATTCTTAGAAGTGTTTTAGACAGATTAGAAAAATAACTATACTTTAATAAAAAAAAATACCAATGAAAATAAGCTACAAATGTTTACAAGTTTCTATGATGTATATAGACATATATGTAAATACAACTACAACCATCGAAAATGAAATATTTTAAAATAAGCATTTGAAAGGACATATCCCAAAATATTAATCATATTCCTTTCTATCTCTCTGAAGTGGGATTGCATTTTTTCCTCTATCTTTGCTCTACATATTTTTAGTTTTTCTATAGCTGATTATGTTTTACATTAATACTCTTAATTTACAAAATGACTACTTACTAAAACCATTGAATTCAAAATGAATGATCAAACTGAACAGATTACACAGCTCAAAATTCCTGTTAGAGTACATGAGTCATTTTACATGTCTGGCATATATACTTTTTCCATTAAAACACATTTCCATCAAACACAATTTCTGTTACTCTTACATACATACGTTTCATGTTGTTCGACTTTAAGGTTTCATAAATATCTAATGCAGCACTTCCCAACAAGACATCAGATTTCAATGTCTGGTGACTCCATACACGAAAATGTAATTTACTCACAGGGGTAACAATACTACAAATGAAGAAAAGGAAGGGTAATATTACTTTAATTATATATTACAATGGGTTCCTAAATAAATTATACCTTGGCTTTAATGTCTAAAGCATTCCTAATGTACCACTTTATAGTTTAGCGTATACCAATATGGGATATGTCCCACAATCTTAGGAAAATCTGATGGTTATACACTTGCATGGACATTTTCATTTTTGGTTGAACTACAGGAACAAATACATGCACGTCTGTCAGGACAAGAACAACTGCTTTTCATGCAACAAGCTCAAATTTCAAAAAACTCACTTTTCTTTAAGGTAAATTCACAAATTAAATATTCTGTGGCTGGTAATTACTTAACTTCAGGTTATTTCATTCATCTTCATAGTAACCCTATGACTGCAATTAGCACTCTAAAAAACTAAGAGAGGTTAAGTAAACTGCCCATGGTCTCAGTCAATAAAAATGACAGAACCGTAATTTCAACAGAAGTTTGTTATAATTAAAATTTATACTAAATTTTCTCAGTCACTTACAATGATTTGACGATCAAATACACCAAGCTTCAAACTGATATATATAAACATAAGGTGTCCAAAACAACTATCAAATAAACACAGACTTATTCATACCTCACTAAATGCTAATAAATACTCTACAAGGTTAGCATTTAACCTGGCACGTGGGATGCCAGCTGGGATGCCCAGATACCCCATCTGATTGTTGAGAGCCTGAGTTCAATTCCAGGATCCACTACTGACTCCAGCATCCTGCGCACTGTGGGACTAACAGATGAAGTGGCTCAAGGCGTTGGGTCCCTGCCAGCCACGTGAGAGACCTGGATCGAATTCCAAGCTTCAAGCATTTGGGAAGTGCACAATGAGCAGGAATTCTGTTAGTCTCCTTCTCTGTCTCACAAATACAAATGTAAATAAATGTTCATATTTAAAAACACTTTTTAATGGCATTTTCCCAACCTTGAGAAATTTGAACTTCCATAAAAGATAAAGGTTAGAGAAATAAGGACACCATGAGTATATAATCTACCATAATCCTATGGTTCAAATAATATAAATATCAGTTGCAGAAATGTTTGCATTTCTGCATACTTCATTCTCCTTATGTGATCAAATTTTGGACAAGAAAAAAAATGCATTACTACTTAGAAGACTATCTATGCCTATCACCTCCATCATTATAATTCTATCACATTTTAACAGTGATGAGTAGTTTAAACATCGTTCCCCTTGCCCTTTCAGGGCACAGTGTTAAATTTCTCCTTTCCAAAAGTCTCAGACTTAGCTTTTTCTTTTCTTTTCTTTTCTCTTCTTTTCTTAGATTTAGTTAACTTTTTTGAGAGAAAGAGTTACAGGGAACGAGGTTTTCTATCCACTGAGGTGGGACCAGACTAAAATCAAGAGCCAGGAGCTTTTTTTTTTTTTTTTTTAAGATTTATTTTTATTATTTTTTTATTGGAAAGGCGGATATACAGAGAGGAGAGACAGAGAAGATCTTCCGTCCGATGATTCACTCCCCAAGTGAGCGCAACGGGCCGATGCTATGCCAATCCGAAGCCAGGAGCCTCTTCCGGGTCTCCCACATGGGTGCAGGGTCCCAAAGCTTTGGGCCGTCCTCGACTGCTTTCCCGGGCCACAGGCAGGGAGCTGGAAGGGAAGCGGGGCTGCCGGGATTAGAACCGGCGCCCATATGGGATCCCGGGCGTGCAAGGCGAGGACGTTAACCACTTGCGCCACCGCGCCGAGCCCAAGAGCCAGGAGCTTTTTTTTATCTGGTCTCCCACACTGGGCTACACGGATAATTTCTTTTTTCTTAACTTAAATCACTAAGAAGTTCACAAAATTAGCAGTTGCAATCTAGGACCCACAGCAATGCCTCAGTGGCTCAATCCTCACCTCGCATGTGCTGGGATCCCATACGGGCACTGGTTTGTGTCCCAGCTGCTTCACTTCCTATCCAACTCCCTGCTTATGGCCTGGGAAAACAATAGTGGATGGCCCAAAGCCTTGGGTCCCTGCACACATGTCGGAGACAAGGAGGAAGCTCCAGGCTCCTAGATTCGAGCTGACTCAGCTCTAACCGTTACAGCCACTTGGGGAATGAACCAGCAGATGGAAGATGTTTCTGTCTCTCCTCTCTGTAAATCGGATCTGCCTTTCCAATAAAAATAAACAAACAAAAAACCACAGCTCAAATTTTAAAGTGACTATCTAGTAACAGCAATAAACATTCAAAGTTGGTGAAAACCAGATGGACATTAAGGATATTATTCAGCTGAACATCTCTGGCCATTACAAAGCTGTGTACGTATAAAACATACATCTTTTATATGTTTCATTTGCTTCTTATATCTTTAATCACAGATTAGAGATTAATGTGTACTTGATCTACCAATTAAAAGTAGAAAGAAACACAGTAGAATAATATAGATAAGAAACATTAAAATAATTCAATTAATGGGCCTAAAGATGATCGTATAAAATTTTTTAGTTCATTCATTTGCTCAAAATCATAATAAAGCATAAGATACCCTAGAACATCAAGAATCTGTTTAAAGATATAGTATATTGATCTGTTTTAGTATTTACTAAGATCAAAAACAATTTGTATAAGCACGTATTATGTTAAAAACTTACTGTTTCAAATATATGATCTCACCACTTACAAATAAAACTTTCATTAAAGTCACTAGTTTACTTCTCTCAGGAAAAAAGCCAAGAATTCCAAAAATAAATGAATGAAAGTAATTTAGCCATATGTGATAAAGTAACAACTAATTTACATGTTAATCTACTTTTAATTTTACATTTGGTCCCCAAATCAAATAGTGCTATATTATTTTTTTAAAAGATTTATTTATTTATTGGAAAGTCAGATATACAGAGAGGAAGAGAGACAGAGGGGAAGATCGTCCCTCCGATGATTCACTCCCCCAGTCAGCACAATGGCTGATGCTATCCTGATCCGAAGCCAGGAGCCAGGAACTTCTTCCAGGTCTCCCACGTGGGTGCAGGGTCCCAAGGCTTTGGGCCGTCCTCAACTACTTTCCCAGGCCACAAGCAGGGAGCTGGACGGGAAGTGGAGCTGCCGGGATTAGAACTGGCACCCATATGGGATCCTGGGGCGTTCAAGGCGAGGACTTTAGCCGCTAGGCCATGCTGCCGCCGGGCCCTGTATTATTTTTAAAAGTCTAAATTCTTAAGTATTTTTAATTTGAGAGGCAGAGAAACAAAGAGAGCACAAATTCCCATCCACTGGTCAACCCTCCAAACACATGTCACTACCCTGGCCGGGGCCAAAGCAAGGAACTCAGTCTAGGTCTCCTACACGGTCAGGCGGGAACCTAATCACTCAAGCTCTCACCATGGCCTCCTGTATTCTGTATTAGTCTGAAGATGAAATCAGAAGCAGAGCCCAGGACTGAACACAGACCCTCCAATTGAAGACATAGGTAACTGAAACACTATTTTAACTTAAAAATCAATGCAAATTAAACTGCAGCTTGCAATGGCTGGTACCCTATGTCAGAGTGCCATTTTGAGTCCAGGCTGCTCTGCTTCCAATTCTGCTTTGCTAGTGCACCTGAGAAAGCCCAAGAATCTGAGCCTCTGTCACATGTGTGCCACAGGAGACTCGGAGAGAGATCTTGCTGTCTCTTCCTCTGTCTCTGTAATTCTACCTTTCAACTTAATAAATCTAGAAAAAAAAAGAGTAGGTAATACATTATAAAAAAGGCTACAACTCTTTCTAAGCTATGAAAATGGGCTCTTCCAGCTACTATCCAGGGGCAGCAGTGATACCATAACCAACTAAATTAAAGAAGGTTAAAAAAAACAAAAACTAAAAAAACAAAAAACTAACTGAAGGGAAACATAAGAACTAAGGAGTCCTACCAAAAGGGAAAACATGAGAAAAAAACACGAAGAGAAAGAAAACACACAAGAAAATTTTTGCAAAGCTGAGTTTCTGTTCATCTACTAAACAAAATACTATATTGTAAGAAATACTTTCAAACTTACACTGTGAGAGATTGCTTCCATTTGGGACTGTTGGTATTATTGCATTTTTCCGTCTTCTTTGACTGTCCATCAACCGTGACTTCTACATAAGGACTTGGTCCAAACCAGTTCTTTTTATTTTCTTTGAGTTTTGCTGAGATGACTACGTAAAAGAAAAAGGAAAACATTTCAATATTTATTTGGGATGCTAATTCAGTCTTGAAATCAATTTAATTTCATAAAGATTAAGCAGATAATTATCTTATTCAGAGAAATTATTTATTTTTTTATTGGAAAGGCAGATTTACAGAGAGGGAGAGACAGAAAGATCTTCATATCCACTGGATCACTCCCCAAATGTCCTCAATGACCACAGCTAAGTAAACCAAAGCCAGGAGGCTCCTCTGGGTCTCTCACCCAGGTGCAGGGTCTCCCACATGAGTGCAGGATTTCAAGGGTTTGGGCCGTCCTCAACAGCTTTCCCAGGCCACAAGCAGGGAGCTGGATCGGAAGTGGAGCAGCTAGAATATGAACTGGCACCTACATGAGATATGCCAGTACTTGCAGGGAGAAGATCAGCCAATTAAGCCATTATGCCAGCTTTATTAGAGAAACAGTTTTGCTCTCAACTATTTATTAATCCTACTCATTATCTTAGCATCCTCCTGTCCCGGTAAAAATAAACAAACACAGGACTCCCCTCCTAAACCACCTGCTCAAATGTTCCTTAGTTTATTCCCTTTCAGTATCAACAATCCCAGAGCACAGGCACTAATACATAAAAAGTATATAAACAAACGTGGCCATCAAATATATAAATGGCTACCATGTGTCAGATGTTGCTCCAAACTTTGTGGATACGGCAGGGAATGTTTTAGGAATAGTCTTATTCTAACGAGTTAATATTCTAGTTAGAGAAATAGTCCTTACAAAGAAAAAACTATCTGAAATGTTAGAATATGACTTGACAGTAAGCAATATCTTCAAGGAAGTACTTTTAATCAATCATATAAATGCAGGAACCCAGCAATGCAAAGATTAGGGATGAAACAAAGAGCTAGTCAGAAGCAAAAGAGCTTTAAGCTATAATAGGTCTTTGGATTTCATTCTAAGTGCAAAGGAATGTCACTGGAAAAAGCTCTAATACTTTGTTTTTAAAAGTATCTTCATATCTCATACTACACAAGCAAAAGTCTTCTACACTGTGCACCTTAAAAACACGGGCTTCTTCTTTATAGGTATTTAAATTTATTTTTAAACTTGTTACATAGGAAAATATGGATTTGCATGCTTCAGCTAGTCATCTTTGCTACAAAACAGCCTCTCAGAGAATACAGCAAGCAACCAGAATCTAGCAGAGTATCCCAGAGTTCCCATAAGAGACACCATGCACTCCCTCCTCCTTCCCACAGGTGAAATGACCACAGTCACGGGACTAATCTACCATCTGAAATATCTTCTCCAACAGCAAAGTTCAGAGCAAGTCAGTGCCCATAAAAGTTAGGACCTTGGTTACTAGAGTTTATTTATTTTATTTTTAAAATTGTTTACATAGTTGAGAGGGATGCATGCCCATATGGGTCTCTGATTAGGGTGGGGAGAGGGAGGTGTGGAGGAAGGTGGACGGGACAAATGTTTCAATATTTTTGTTTTTTCCCTCCTGCGCCCACAGGCTAGGAGGGAGAGAGGGCCACTTCTTACTGTCAAATGACATCAGCACGTGGGGTGAAGGATGGTCCTTTGACAACGCTCCAGCAACCCTGATGTGGGGAAGAGTGTTCTGATGGTGTTACTTGAGTAGTTTTAACACCCTCAGTCAGTCAGTTTTACTGTTGTTCCAGGGTTGAGAAAAATCTTTCCAAGGTCTACTAACAAAGTTCACCTTAGTAAACCCACAGACCCAGGAACATGCTGCAAACTGGTCAGAACTGTCCAACCTGTACTGTTTTCCATCTTCTAATGAGGCAGCTGACGTTCCCTTCTGGCCTAGATGAGCTGGCTGTCATGTCCTCCGTATGTATCTGGACATGCTGTCCACTGCACAGACATCAGCAAGAGAGGAGCCCAGTCCTGATACATGCACTCCAAGGTCAGATCACACAACCTGTGTCCCTGTGGCCAGGGTCTGAGTCCAAGGGTCCAGTCGGGGAGTCCCCAAGAACCATCACCTGGGCTGACCTCAGACCTGACTTGTGTGTCAGCTTGAGAAGTTAATACACCAACTACCCAAGACCAATATAGCCTGAAATCTGGGCAGCACACAATCACAGTACCAGGAAATGGTTGTATATCACACATCTCACAGCATTCCAATCTCTCTTCTTATGTACACACATAAGAAGGTATATGTATACACATATACCTTTTTGACAGCACCCAAGTCAATCTGGTGAGTATTCAGAAAAAATATGCATACTCTGTACATCAGAACATCACCAATATTTTGACAATATTTGGTACAAAAAGTTGAACAGGGCCACCACTATGGCTCAACAGGTTAATCTTCCAACTTCAGCACCAGCAACCCATACAGATGCTGGTTCATGTCCCAGATGTTCCCTTTTCCTCCCTGCTATAGTTTTAAAAAGCAGTGGAAGATGACCCAAGTCCTTGAGACCATGTACTCTCTTAGGAGACCCAGAAGAAGCTACTGGCTCCTGGCTTTGGATTGGCTCAGCTCCAGTCACTGTGACCACTTAGGGAGTGAACAAGCAGATGGAAGACCCCTCTTTGCCTTTTCTTCTCTCTCTGTTAAATATGCTTTACAAGAAAAAAAATCTTTTAAAAAAAAAAAGGAATAAAATGTATACTGTGAAAAAATTCTGCATGAATTCCAAATTTTTTGCAGCAAAACAAGCATGCTTTAATCCTGTCTTCTACAAAGACATTCCTATGAGATATAAATAAACAAATCCATACACAGAAAGCATGTTAGCAGTTACCTAGGTATGTGAAGAATTGGGAGAAGTAGCTGCTAATGAAGTAACAAGAAAATTCTTAAGTCAAAAAACATTCTAAAATTGCTTGTAGTGATGGTTGCACAACTCTCTGCATGCATTAACACTGATACTCAGAAGGATATAGATACAAATTCAATTTCTATAAAGCTATTAATATGAAACAAACAAAATAACAAACAGCCATTGCCCAGATACCCGTGTTTAATCAGAGGGGGAGAAAAAACCCTGCAAAATATCCAAGAACACACTGAAATTAAAATGTTTACATATCCAGCCATTTAGTTCATTCATTCATCCAGCAATTAGTTTACAGCACAGGATACATAACAGACTCTGCTGGACCTTTGTAAGACTTACCAGTGATCTGCAGTTGTGATTTCATGGTCAGGCTACCCATTGAACCAAGCTGTGATCCACTGTCAGACATACCACCAATATTAACAGCAAACCTGAACATAGCAAAGAAGACACTATAATTGTCAAAAAATTCCCAAAATATGCAATAGTTCTAACCTGATCGTCTCCTGCTGCAGTGTCCTATAATGACCACTCTCCTTCCCGTTTCCCAACATTTCAAGTACTAATCCTACCTGACCTATCAGCAAAATGGGACACAGCTGAGCATTCCTTTCTCCTCGGTTTCCTTTTTCCTTGGAGGTTCCAGACATATTGTCCAATTTATGTCCCAACCTCAATGGTAGTACCCTCTTGGTCTCCTTTCTGCTTCTCTTCACTTTTTTTGTTTGCATATCCCAGAGCTCAGTTCTTGACTGCCCCTTCTTTTATCTCTATTTATTCCCTTAAAAACATTTGACAGACATACAGACTTATTATTTGTTTACTTTCATTTCATTTGAAGGGTAGAGAAACAAAGATCTACCATCCACAGGTTCAGTTCCCAAATGCCTGCAACAAGCACAGCTGGGCCAGGCCAAAGAATTCATTCAGGTCTGGAGGGGACTCAAGAACCTGAGCCATCACTTACTGCCTTCCCTGGATGCCCACTGCCAAGAGGTCTGCTTGGACATGGAGTTGTCACTCAAACCAGGCACTCTTAATAGAGATGCAGGCCACCGTAGTTTCACTGCTCTAAATAGTATCTAAAAACATGTCCTAACCAACTTTGTATCTTTAATCCAAATGTTACTTCTAATATCTAAACAATTTCACCTGAATTTACAATTTCACTTCCCATACTTAACATATCCAAAGCTGAACTGACTTTCCCTACCAACCTACATGCAGCAGGGGGTGTGGTCAACGCGGAGGTATAAAGAGAACAGTTCCTCTGTTGGCAAGGCCACAAGGAGCTTCCTGCTGTATGGCAAGGCCTGGAGGATGTCTCTCCAACCACCTCATTGCAGTGTCACCCCCTTTGCATGGACACTCAACCATGCCACTAAGAATTCGGTAATCTACTGAGGCATTGTTGTATGTCCTTGTGAGAGAGTTTTTGCAACTGATGTGAGCTTAGGAGTTAATGTTACTGATAATGTCTTGATGAGTGGGCCTTTAACAATTCATGAGAATCAATGCACAAAGAAGTACAATTAAGCCTGTAGCTGCAGTAGGATCTAATGTTTGAAACTTTTGTTTTGGATGTTGATTTTTCTCCCCCTTAGGATATATTTTCCTTGTTTAGTGATGGATAAGTTGTAAAAAAAAAAAAAAAAAAAAAGTGTTTTTCCTTTTAACATATTTTCTCACATTAAGTAATAGGTAAGTTGTAGAAATAGAAATGTAGTAGGAATGTATTACTGATTAAGATGTAATTGTGCCCTGGCCTTGGAGTCCTGCCTGTCACCCAATGGCTAATACTAAAGTATGAGTAATGGTTTGCTTTGAAGAAAAATGATTACAGTATCTTACAGAAATAAAAAATAGTTGCATAATCACGAAGTAAAAGAATAATCAAACGTCAGTGTTGTTATTACTAAAGAATGGATAATGGCTTGCTTTTAAGAAAAATGATTATAGCATCTTACAGAATTATCTTTAGGAGCACCTGGTTAACCATAAAATAAAAAATAATCAAATATCTGTGCATGCCCACTTAGTCATGAAACTAAAAACAGAACAATCAAATGTTTGTACAAAGGCGTGTGATGTGTCTGAGTAAATAAAAATAACAGCTTCTTGAGCTGTTGATGCAAAGGCACAAGTGACCGTGTCTGTGTCTCTTTGCCATGCTGACTCCACACTCTTCTCGAGTTCTGAACTCAGCTGGAATCGGCCTCCAGCATCTACTCTTATTGTAGGCATTTTATACCAGCAGATGAAAACTTCATCTTTTCAAATGCTAAAAACTTGCAGTCATTCTTTTTTCATCTCCCCTTCCAACCTGTCAGCAAATGCTAGTTTCTTCAGAAATATATCCAGGACTGATCATTTTTTACCATCCCGTCAGCAATTTGTTGAGTGCTACCTTTGAGAGTCATCTCTTTCCTACATTATGCCTCTTTCCTAGATTAATGCAAAAGCCTAACAGATCCCCCTGTTTCTAATCCTGCTTAGCTTCAGTGTCTAGTCAATGTAGCCAGAATAACTACTGCAGTTTTTAAAACCCTGCCAGGGCACACATTAATCACAGCAGTTAGGCTGCTGCTTGTGATGATACATCCATATTCAAGAACTTAGACTGGAATCCCAGCTCCACTTTAAATTCCAGCTTCCTGCCTAGGAAGCAGTGGGTGATGGCTCAAATAGCTGCCACCCGTGTAGGAGACCTGGATAGAGTTCCAGGCTTTGGCCTTGGTGTTGCAGCAATTTGGAAAATCAATCAGTAGATGGAAAATCGATTCTATTTTTCACCCTCCCGGGCTCCCAAATATACAAAATAAGAACGGAACCCTGTAACAGCTTTTTATTTTAATCAGAGTAAAGGCCCAAATCCTCACAATGAATTACAATACTCAATACAAACTATACTTCCCTTGCTCCTAACTTCCTGATCATATTTCCTCCCTTCTCCTCTCTTCTCAGGTACCCTATCTTCTATTTCTGAAATAAGCAGCATGTTGTGACCTTAGAACTTTTGTTCCACTTTCTGTTTTAACAGTATTACAATCTGCTCTACAAACTCTGCTCACTTCTTCCTTTACAGAACACAACACTCTTTGATAAAATGATTTAGTAATCATGTTTATTGATTTCTGTCACTCTGTTCCAAAATACAAACAGCATATAAACAGAGATCTTTGTGCACTGGTAAAACTCCCAAAAGCAAAACAGTGTATGATACATAGTAAATACTTAAATACTGGTCTAATGGCATCAACTAACCAAACAACTATATCTGATATTTAGCCTTGTTGGTAAGATGCTGGTTAGGACACTCAAGTTCCATACCCAAATGCCTGGGTTCAATTCCTGGCTCCAGCTTCTGCTATAGCTGTCTACTAATCCACACCCTGGAAGGCAGAGATGAGGGCTCAAGTTTGGGTTCCTGTCACCCACATGGAAGCCTATGAGCTTATGGCTTATGGCCTCACTTGCAAGAGTGAACCAATGAATGTGAGCTTATTCATTTTGTCTCTATGCCTCTTAAACTTATTCTTAACAAAAGAAATGAATTACTATAACATGTATTTTCTTTAATCTCTAATCACATTAGAGCTCATCCTCATGTGGAAACAGCATGATTCACAGATTTTCTAATGAAGCCAGAAAACTTAGGATTGATTCTCATGTAAATCACTTACCACGAGGCACTATTTGAGTTACTTAACCACTAAAGGTCTGAGTTTTCTTATCAGAAAAATAGAGACACCGTTTCCTCTAATACAGAGTTATTGCAAAGACAATCTGATCACATACCTAAAAAATGCTGGGTATATACGTTTGTTATTTATCATTTGTAGTATTTAAGTTAAATACAATTCTAAAATAAACTTTTTTTAAGATTTATTTTTATTGGAAAGACAGATATACAGACACAAACAGGAGACAGAGAGAAAGATCTTCCATCTGCTGATTCACTCCCCAAGCAGCCTCAAAGTCAGGAGCTGAGACGATCTGAAATCAGGAACCAGAATTCCCCTCTGGGTTTGATGCAGGTGCAGCATCCTAAGGCCTTGGGCCATCCTTGACTGCTTTCCCAGGCCATAAGCAGGGAGCTCGATGGGAAGTGGGCCCACCGGGATTAGCACCAGTATCCATATAGGATCCCAGCCAGGACTTCAGTCACCAGGCTACCGCATCAGGCCCTAAACCTCTGTTGTTAAGTTGTTGAAGACTGGGTAAAAATACCAGGAATATTTCTTGCAGAAAAAAGCAAAAATAAAGTCAAATTAAATTTACTTCCCACTATTTTCCAGGTAGAAACAAAAGAGGCTGAAAGTATAAATATTGGCTTTAAGTTCTCATACAAAATTAGTTGCCTATTAAAAATTTTAAATAATAAACAATTCTGATGGCTTCTCAAATATGCCAAAGCAAAATAGAAAAATAATTCCTACTGAGATGGACTCTATAGAATCCAATATATTAGCTAAAACTGATAGGGAAACACAAAAATAGAGTAGTAGTCCAAAAACAATTTAGAAAAAGATAAAGTTGGAGAATACAAACATATTAGTTTCAGAAACACTAACAGCTGTGCTAACCAAGACGTTGTTCCAGCACAACCACAAAAACATAAATAACACAAGTTCTGAAAGAAGCCAACACGTACATGGCCAACTTAAATTTTTCAGCAAATGATGCAATATCAACCGTATATTCACTGCAAAAAAAAAATTTATATATATATATACACCCCTACCTCACAGTCACAAAAGAGCTAACACCGAAATATTTACTAGAAAACAGAAATAATTTTATGTGGCCTTTAATTAAACAAAAGTATTAGATTTGGTGGCTGGATAAAGCTGCCACCTGTGGTGCCAGCATTTCTCACGGTCGGCGGTTCCAGTCCCAGCTGCTCCACCTCCCATCCAGTTGCAGAACAGTGACTGGAAAAGCAGAAGAGGTTTTCACAAATGTTTGGGGCATTTCCATTTACATGCAAGACCTAGAAGAAGTTGCTGGCTCCTGACTCCACTGCAGCCAGTTGAGGAATAAACCAGCAGAGAAAGATTTCTATCTTTCTGCCTCTCTATAAATCTGCCTTTAAGAAAAAAAATCTTGGGCCCGGCACAATAGCTTGGTGGCTAAAATCCTTGCCTTGCACGTGCCAGGATCCCATATGGGCACTGGTTTATATCCCATTTGCTTCACTTCCTTCCATCTCCCAGCTTGAGGCCCGGAAAAGCAGTCAAGGACGGCCCAAAGCCCTGGGACACTGCAACACGTGGAAGACCCGAAGGAAGTTTTGGCTCCCGGCTTCAGGTTGGCTCAGCTCTGGCCATTGCAGCCACTTGGGGAGTGAAGATCTTTCTCTCTGTCCTTTGCTCTGTAAAGCTGACATTCCAATAAAAATAAACAAATTTTTTTTTAAATTCTTTAAAAA